ACCGTTTGGACGTCTCTTCAAAAAGTTATGATTTTCGAGAAAAGTGTCAAATTAATTAATTTTGCCATTTTCTGTAGTAAACTTGTAATTCTTAACTTCTCACAGAGACGTCCAAACAAGACAAACCTTTCACAGTTGGAAAGAGTAGGTCAAAAAACTTGTGTTGACGATTACAGGTTATTCTGCAACTTCCCAGATTTTTGACGACCTAAATTAAAATAAGCAAAGTCTATATGGTCTTCTGTTTCCATTTTTATCTTTGTAGTCAGTGCGTAGCAGAAGCTCTGCAAAACAGCATTCGAAAGCGAGAGATTTACTCTTTCGAATAAAAAACAAAGTGAAGTAAATTTGCAAATCCTTTTGAAAAATCATAATGCAAAGTTATATATGACAACAACAAACATGAAACCACAGAACTTTCGGGACAACCTAATATATTCTCACTGACAGTTGGAGTGATACTCAAGTATGTATGTAGATGTATGTATCAGTGGTGGACCCCCCCCCCCCCCCCCGAGAATGGGCTGAGAAATTTTGAAATTTACGTGGGTTATAAAAATGTGCAAGTGACTTGTTTATTTTTGTAAACAACAATAATTTTTGAACTTTCTAAAAAATCAAATTAGCCTTATAAAAAAATTTTTTTCAGGGACGTGGCCGACGCCGCGCCCTTTTTTCCAGATTTTAGGGGTTGTGGACCCGCAAAAATTTTGAGGAGCACCCCAAAAATCTTTTTGGAGTGCGTGTTAACGCCACGCACTTTGATGTGAAAAAATTTTTGCCGCCCCCCCCCCTCCACGGTCGAAATCCTGGGACCGCCACTGGTATGTACAATTTAGATCTTTGAGCTGAACTCAACTTACAAGGGAACGATACTCAATGTCCGTGGCCTTTTGAGACAAGATGTATAACATTATTCTCGTCTTCGAACGCTGATTCCGAATATGACTTCCGTTTCTGCTAATTGTTTCTCTAAGAAAAGTTAAAGAGGAATTTCGAACCAAGTTTGGCGGCCCAAGTGAAATATGGTCATTAAACGACCCCTAACGCAGCCGCGTTCTGGTCTAGTGGTTAGTGCGACAGCCTCATAAGTTGGTGCAGGTGTAGGTTCAAATCCTCTTGTGTTTTTTACTTTTCCATTGCCTCAATTGAGCTCGTGAGACTTTAGTCGAATTGTAATCATTGGATGCATTTTAGCGCGAACAGTAATTATTTTTTCCAAACTTCCACATTTTTTGAAGAGTGAGGGCGTTCACTTAGCCGATGATGCGGAAGAAAGTTTGTTGGGGCAATGCAAAACTAAAAAATGCCAAAAGCATCAACTCATGAGCTATCGTATTAACCACTAGACCACAGCCCACCGTTAGTGGATGTGCTCTCCTATCGTATTTCACTGGGCAGCCATACTCCGCGCTCCATCATAACGTCTTTGAAGCGATCAGCAGAAACGGAAGTCAGAGTCGGAACCAGCGTTCCAAGACAAGTGTAATGATATACATCTCATCTCAAAAGGCCACGGACACCGAGTATCGTTCCCTTGTTAGACTTACTTTATGAAGTAATTTATCGATTGCTTTTCACTGTTGTAAACTTACCGTAGTAAAATTGAAGAGGGTTTTGAGATATCAAGAGCTGTTTCCCCAGGAAAAAGAATCAAAAAGGTCGAAAGTCTTACATTAGACTTCTAAAGATACTCACCATGTATAGTGCACTCAACCGTAATGCTGTCTTTGCAACTTATGCCAGACACATCGTAACAAATGTTTTTGATCGCCTTTCAACAAACGATTGCACATTTGAAAAGCTTGAAAACTCGTGCGCAGTAAGATCAGCATACGTAAAAGCTCTGCTATAGTGTGGACCCCGGCCAGCTTCCCATATGTACCTCCGCGCCGCAAACGCAGCGCATGCCTTCAGTGCTCTTTTCGTCCCAGGACCTATTGGTTTCTATGCGTTCCTCTCTTTATTGAGTTTGTTTTTTTTCTATAATCTCTTTCTTTCAGGGTTAAACGAACCACACCAGCTGATGACGACAAGTTTTTACGAGCCTCAATAGTCTTGAGAGCTTCTGTCTCAAAAGCTCTCATTTTTTCCCTCCGCAATGAGGATTAAGTATAGTTTGAAGAGATTTCTTCAGGGTTTCTATCACGGACCAGACGTATCTATTCGATTGAATTTGTTTTGTATAGAAACGTATCTATCCGATTGAGTTTGTTTTGTCTAAATCTTTTAGTTGCTTTTCAATGCGGCACTGAAGCTTCAGCTTGTATAATGTAAGGGAGATGCTTTTGCATCTCCGTTTGCATCTCCGATGGAATGCCAGAAGACATGATTCATATGTTTAGGGCGTGACCGACGATACGAAGCCTCGAGGAGTTGCTCCTTCGCCCCGACACCGACCGGCCGTCCTACCGTACCCCTCCACGTCTCTGGCTGATGCTGTTCCGATCCAGTACCTATCCAATCTCCAAGCTCAACTACTTCACCGATGATCTCCTATTCTCGCATATTCATATACTGTCCTCTGTCTACATTGATGCCTTAACGATAAACTACTAAGTACTGATCGGTGTTCTGTTCTTGCCAGCCAGGAGCACGCCTCCACTGCCGCTACGCTTACTGGTAGCAGCGAGTGGTTCCACCGCCACGGAGGGAAGATAAGTTTCTTTTTTCTTGGTAATTTTTGTGTATTTTTGCCCTGGTGGGTTCCCGGTCGGTATCTTGGCGAATTTTCTTGAGAAAAGACAGTTGTAATAGTTTTACTTTTTTTGAGTTGCCTTTTGCTTGATCTAGGCGCCAGATCTTGCGAAATTTTGGTAACTTAAGGCCTTTTTTTGATCTAAAATGGTAAAATGCGATTTTCTTTTCTCAAGCTCTTTTTTTCCGCGGAATCAGCAGTTCTCTGCTGATAACTTAGAGTAGTGTACGTACACCTGGTGGTGACTTGTCCGGACCTAGTGGTAATAGAACGCCAAGGAAGTGAGTGTTGGTTATTGCGTTGTGCCCAGCGTATTATCAGGTAGGTATTCTGTGTTCTCCCCGGGTTGAGTTTGTGTTTCCTCGCGGATTAATGGACTTGTGTTTTGGCTAACTTGTGTTTTGGCTAGGCGTTCGCCCATGTTAAATTGATATTAGTGTTGCCGGCGGCTGGGAATTATGATGTGTTAGAGTCCAGTAGAATTGCCTCGAGGTAGTTCGCGAGGTGACATCCGCTTGAGGGTGTAAGGTAAGCTCGAGCATTGAGGTGATATAACTCAAAGGTGTTGATCGATCATTCGCTTACTATGTAAGTCACATATGGCGGCCCTTTCCAGATTAGCGCGCAGAGTTCTGGCCGCATTCTCCCCAGATGGCCGTCTAGCTAGCGGTCGGCTCCAGTCTACTCCACTACGCTACACAAGCAACTAGGAAATCAGGTACGTTTTTATAAATTCCTATTGCAATCATATCCTCCTATAGCTTGAATTTTCTCTCTCACATTAGCTCTTCCTCATACTTTTGGTTGAATTCTCTCGTGATGTAGACTGTTTGAGCGTGCGCGTGTATCGCGCCTGACTAGTAAATTACTATTGAGATACCTTTTGGAGATCTTTTCTTTTAACATAATTCCGAATTCATTTGGTGATTTCGTATACTATTTACAGCTGGGTATTTCACTCATATCATTATTCTCCGTAGCTAATCTTACGGTATTCCTCTCGCAGTCTACTCTCTCTCGCTCTCTATCCCTCGCTGTTTTCAAGCGCCGATAATTTGAACTTCTTTGTTTCTGAGACTGTTTTCCATGCTCGCGCTAAGCTTTCAAGCACTTTCTCGTTGCGCCATGCAAAACTTCATTCAACTTGCGCTTGCGCTCATTTGAATCAGTGCTTTGTGTCTTTGTGAGCCAAGCTTGTTTCTTAGGGACTTTGCGCTCCGAATCGTATTTTCGCATTTTGCACTCAGCCGCGAGTAACTGTTTGAATTCTCTCGTATTACGGTATCTCTTGGTAACAAAAACCTAGCGCGACTCTTGAGAAAGTAGAGATAACGGCTTTGCACAGCCAGATCATAAACATAGATAAGTCGTAGGGGAAATATCAAATAGCAAGCTAACATTCTCTCACATCCGGTGTAGATGCAGAACATAGATAACAGAGAAATAACACATGCTTAACATATTCGAAAGTTTTCCCCTAGCATGACGATTGCTGTCTTTGATCAGAAACATAGATATCCCCTTAGGAAAACATCTTGGCGCTACCATGTAACATTTGATAAGCAGCGCAACTATATAATAGGTCATCGGACTTAGTTGTCTTCATACTGACGAAGAAATCGCAGTTCGCTCTCGCATCTTTCTTCAAGGTTTGGGCTTCCACTTCTTCTCTTGTCTCTTAATTTCCCTGATATTGGGCTTATCCTGTTTAGCTTTCATGGTTCCGATTACTCGCTCAAAGGGGCAGGTGGAGCAGCCCGCGACGGACACCTCGAGCCCACCTGGGGCACTCGAGGCTATCACGGCGCCTTTGACGTCGGCGTTGGCGACCCTTGAGGACTCGGCCGTGGTTCATGGACGTGACGCCAAGGAATTGAAGAGTGCCACGACAGATGCTTTGGTCAACGCCTGGCGGGACGCTAAGAAGACTACCGCACAACTGGCGGAGAAACTGAATCGAGGTAATTCGGATCTCTTAGAGGGGATTAACCAGTCATTTGCGGTAGTGGGTTTTCGTATGGAGCAATTCCCATTGGTTGCAACTTGCTGCCCTGATGGGCTCTCGTCCAGAATCGTCCCATTTTCGGGTACTTCTAATTCACAATCCTTTTCATTGTGGTTGCGCCGCCTAGAGGACTCAATGCGCTTACGCAAAATTGTTACAGCGGAGGATAGGGCTAACTATTTAGTTGCGCATTTAGAGTCTGTTGCCAGGGAACGTGTTGAAACTCTATCCTCGGAGGATAAGGCGCAATTGTGGCCCTATTGCGCAAGCACTACGAAGGGCCCAAGCAGATGGCGGATGCCAGACAAGAGTTGTCGTCGTGCAGACAGGCCGCGGGTGAGTCTATCCCTGCTTTTGCATTTCGCCTTCTTAACTTACTACGTACTGCAACAGGTAAGGACCCTTCTCTTAATGATGAAGTGTTCCTTCAAGAATTTTTGCAATGATTGAATTCTGACTTACGTTTTCATGTTAAGTATGCTAACCCGTCATCTTTTGAGGAAGCAGTGGCCGAAGCCGAACGAGTCGAGAACCTATTGGCTGAAGCTTCTAGGGATCGACTTATTCACCCGTCTCAGGTGTCTCAACCGGTGACCGTGAGTTCCATTAAGCCTTTCACTCGTTCTTCATTTGATAATTCTACTGTTAATCGTAACCAGCGTCCTTCCAACCCCTTTCGCTCTAGAAGCCCTTACAGCAGGGAAAGCTACCCAGATAGAGGAAGACCAAATGCTAATCGTGTGCGATTTCAGGAACCAATGGAACAAAGGCCTCAGGACAACATGGCGAACGGTATTTTCTGCTATAACTGTGGCGGTCGAGGACACACTATTCCTGAATGCCCGTCAAGGAGGCGACAACGTCAGCAAACAGGTAGGTTCACATCACGTTTTCTAAGATCGCGCAGCCCTAGATTTCCTTTCCGTTCTCGTTCTCCAGCTTTTAACCGTAGAGCTTCTCCTAACTTGCTTAGTATTTCGCCTCATTCTAATAGTGAATTAGAAGATGCGCGTAAGCAAATTGAATCTCTATCTCTATCCTTGAAACAAAATCAGGCAGCTCTCGAAAATTCTAACGCTCGCATTTCGGCACTCGTGCAACGAAACGAAGAGCTTGCCCACTCAGCTTTAGTCATTCCTCTACATCATCTTCCACGTCTACTCTTCCTAAAGTTAACGCTTTGTTTTTCGCTTCTGTTGTTATGTCTTGCTGTATCTTCTCTGCTTACTCTCAGCCTGTATGGCTGTGTCCACGCGATAAATCTGATCCACTTAGTCATATCCCTCTTACATATAACTGCTCCTATCTAATTCCTAACATAACTAATCCCCCTGTTCGCGCTACTCTTCATGTTTACCGACCCAATTCTGAGCGCTACGACACTCCAGCTACTTTGTGTAGAATAGTAGAGCAGTCGGTTACTTATTCCGTAAACTTTTTCGGGGCGCGCCATCAAACACATACAGAAACTTATAAAACCGTTACGGTAGAACATTGTAGGCAGATGAAACAGCACCATAAATGCGAGTTTGGGGTTATGCATCCGGCAGGGGAATCTTTTAAGACAGATAATCCTCTCACTTTTGAATTTCCCTCAGCACCTTTTGGCTGTTGTTCGGAACATCATTTATCAGTAACCAATTGCTACCTAACCCCTACAATGGTGCATGCACGTCATGGGTCTCAGTCTCCCGACACCGCGGTCGGTGATCTCCGGCATTGCTCGTACAAGGATGGTTTTTGCACACTCAAAGACGGATCGGTGCTACTTTGGACCCCAGCTCAGGAAGAACTTTGCGCGTTTATTCCCATCTCCAAAATGCATGGCCACTTGCTAGGAAACATCTGGATAAGCGACTCGAAAGAGTTTGCTTTATCTTGGCGTAGTGACATTTCTACTCTAGTTGACTGCGGTACTTCCCTAACAGTTACCGACCAGGGTTATGCAATTGCTAAAGCTAAGCGGCTAGCACGTTCCACGCAAACACAAGTAGGGATAGTAACATCCAATCAACTCGCAGCTCAATTGCTAGCCGTAGAGGATAGCGTTCAGAGCTCTCTCACCACTCTTTTTCACCATGCTTTGGCTTCTTTGTGTGATCGTATCAATACTCTTGCTTTCTCGCTCCACTCTTCTCTCAAATCCGATCCAACCTATACCGTGCGCAAGTTAATTAACCGCGTTGACGTTGCAGCTTCTTACTTAGGGAATGGTTTTGTACAAATCCATAATTGTATGCGTATTCCTAAGGCTAACTATCGTATTTTACCTTTCAACTCTACATACTATACTAAACCCCAAGTTCAGTTGACTTTGCCTAGTGGATCTTCTTGGGTCACCTTCATTGATCCTCATAATTGGGTACTTACTTCCAACGCTGATCCGTTACCTTGCGCCAAACTCCGCCCCTTTTACTTCTCTCTTCCTGATGGAGTTCTCCGGTATGATGCACCTTCCCACTCATTCTCTAAAATATCTAATCAACACATTCACAATATCACATTGGCTTCCGTTTCCCATGATGTTAATTTCACTCCATCTCTTACAATCTTTCATAATCTAGTGCTTACGAACTTTAGCGAGCTCGTGCAAGAGCATCAGTTACAAGAACTTTGGACAGCTCAGAATTTTCACAAAATTATTGGTGCATTAGGTAACAATGATTACTCTTCTCAAGTCTCTCCTGATTCCCAATCTGGTAGCAACTCTTCTCTTCTATTTGCCCTGATAGGGTTTTCCCCATACAATGCATGGATAACTATTTGCTGCATAACTGTGACTTTAGCAATTCTCAAGAAGTTAATTCTTTTGTATATCAACGTATCCTATGCTGGTATTCTCTCACGCATAGCTCCTTCTAATTCGCGCACCCAGCTGCGTCCGCTTCCTCTCATGTATTCATCCTCTAGCAACCCATTTCCTATACCTTCTTGGGCGAATACTTTAGAGGAACAACCCATCGAGCTTACTCGTCTTGCGCTAGACTCTTCGCACGCATGGCCACCTAAGCTAACAATAGCTCCGGTTCACGTCTTATCCTTGTATGATGATACCCACTTCTTTGTGGCGCAAATTCCTATTAAAGCGAACGGTATAGCGCTATTAGGCCTTATTGACACTGGCTCCGCTATTTCCGTCGCAAGCCGCGAATTGGCAACCTTGGTAGGTATCTTCCACTTCGAGCGCAGCTCGGTAGACACCGCCATCGGGATGGCGGGTATACCCATAGGTCTCCTAGGATGCGCACGTCTTAATCTCCAGGTAGGGTCATATCACATCTCTGCTGCTGTACACTTTACTGATGAATCTTCAATCCCCCATCATGCAGCCTCTTTTAATCTCATCCTAGGTAACAATGTATTGTCTCAACTCCCACCTTGGTCCATCGATTATACAAATCATACTTTTACTATTAATGGCGAGCAAATCCGAATTTTTGGCACTGTGTCACAACGACTGCAAGCGGAAGTAGAAGGAGATGTTATCGTTCGTGTTTCAGAAACAACACCTTTACAACCTGGAACCGAAACGTATGTGCCGTGCTATACTTCTTCGAGTCCCACGGTGCCGGTCATGCTGGTGACGCAATCCGAGGACCTACTCCAGCGCTCGCTACTGATTTCTCCTACTGTATTCACCGCAGGTACGATTCACCTATTAGTTTCAAATCCTACTAGTAGTCCCCAAGTGTTATATAAGAATCAGAGAATTTCTACTGCGTCCATTAGTAGAGGAGAATGGGGTGCTTTCGGACCCCCGGTGTTTTTAGCATGAGTTTGTTTGCCTTACAACCTCTTGCTGCGGCTGATCGCTGTCCCCTTCCAGAACCCAAAGCTGATTTTGTCGTTGACCTTACCAAGTCCGAAGTTTCTCACAAAGAGAAAGAGCAGTTACAAGCTCTCTTTTACGAGTTCCGCGATAGGATATCCCAAAGTTCCTATGACTTAGGTTCATACGATTGCGAGGCAATCCACATCAAGACCACTACCGAAATTCCTCCTACTAGGTTCCGACCTACCCGTATCCCGGTTAAGTTCCAGAAGGAACTTGACGACCACATCAACAAGTTGTTGAAAGCCGGTAGGATTAGGGAGAGCGATACCCCATGGGTTCATAACACGGTTTTGGTTAAGAAGCGCGATGGTACCCTTTGCGTTTGTCTCGATTTTCGTCCACTAAACGACATTACCATCCCCGACCATTACCCTTTACCCCGTATCGACGATATCCTAGAAAAGATTGCGGGTAACAGGTATTATACTTCCCTTGACCTAGCATCTGGGTACATGCAACTTCTACTTTCACCAGAGAGCCAAGCCAAATGTGGTTGGGCAACGCACCGCGGAATTTACCAGTTCGTTTATCTCCCCTTTGGACTCAAAAACGCCGGCGCGTATTTCTCTCGCGCCATGTCCCGTATCCTGGCCGGTTTGGAAGAGAATTGCCTGGCATACCTGGATGATATTGTCATCTTCGACAAGGACTTCCCAAGCCACCTAAAGTCTCTGCGTAAAGTATTCCGCCGCTTTCGCGATTTCGATATCAAGGTATCAGGCAAGAAACTGGTTGACATCGCGCGTTCCAAAATCACCTTCCTGGGGCACGAAATTTCAGGAGGTAGTTATTACCCTTGCGATAGGAACATTCAAGCGGTTAAGCGCCTCCCGACCCCTTCTACAGTCAAAGAAGTCAAATGTTTTCTAGGAATGGTTAACTTCTTTCGAAAGTTTATACAAAATTTCGCCGCCATAGCAGCACCCCTGTATGAACTAACCAAGGACAAAGCAAAATTTGAATGGGGTCCGCGCCAGCAACAAGCTTTTGACGAACTACGGAATAAACTCATAACCAAGCCATGTTTGGCGTTCCCTCAAGAACGTGATTTTATCCTCCACACGGATGGTAGTCAAGTTGCCGTAGGCGCCGCATTATTCCAGCAAGCAGCCAGCGATGAGAAATCCCTATTAGCTATCGGCTATTACAGTAAAGCTCTATCCCAGTCTCAACAAAAGTGGAGTCCCACTCATATAGAACTTTTTGCAATGGTAAGCGCTCTTCGTTTCTTCAAAGCCACTATTTACGGCCATTTGACCCGTATTTTTTCTGAGCACCGCCCACTGACGTATCTTCTCAAACACAATAAGACCCATGATAATTTAGCGCGATGGGTAATAGAGTTGCAAAGTTATAACATAACCATAGAATATTTGAAGGGATCATCAAATGTTGTGGCCGATTGCCTTTCACGATCAGTCAACCCTCAGACTCAGTTTCAGGATAACACCCCAGAGTCTGAAGACATAGTAGAATTTCCTATGTGTCTAGCGGTACAAGGTTATTGTTTGCGTTCTCTCCAACCAACCAATTCCTCCCTTGTTACTCCAATCGCGATTAAGCCCTATGATGCCTTACTAGAGCAGAAGCGCGACCCAGTTTGTAGCCCTATCATGTCGTTCCTGGAAACAGGACAATTTCCCGAAAATGTCTCGGAAACAGATAAGGCCCAATGGCTTCGCTTAGCTGAAGATTGTCACCTACGCGCAAATGGTTGCTTGTACCATCTTACCAAGTCCCCCCAGCGCCCCGACGCCGTTATAGAACAACTCTTCTTACCGGAAAAACTCCGTGAACCAGTCTTTCACGCAATGCATACCAGCGCTACAGCTGGCGGACATTTTGATTGGCGTAAAACTTTAGCGAAAATCGCGCGAAAATACTTTTGGCCACATATGTCCGAGCAGATTTTCGCCCTCTCCAAGGCGTGTGATTCCTGCCAACGCAAACGCGCCCAGGCACTCAATCGCGAGAAATTACTCCCAGTAGTCACCACAACCGTATTCGATAAAGTTTATATGGACCTTACCGGCCCTTTACACACTTCCGAATCAGGTAATAAGTACGTGTTGGCCCTGTTGGACCACTTCTCCAAGTATGTCATCACAGCACCCTTACCGGATTACAGCGCGGTCACAGTAGCTCACGCCATTATGACTGAATGTATACTCAAATTCGGTGTCATGACACAGCTTATTTCAGACAATGCCTCCTACTTCAAAGGAGAGCTCATATCCGAGATTGGACGGTTGCTACGCATTGGACGATATTTCACTACCCCGTATCACCACGAAGGCAATGGAGCTTGTGAGCGTATTTTTGCTACTTTTCATCCTATGCTTCGTACTTATATTAATGAGAATCAGACTGACTGGGACAAATTTGTACCGGCCTGTGCCTTTATGTACAATACGTATGTTCATATAGTACTAATAATACTCCTTTCTTTTTGATTTTTGGACGTGATCCTGTTTTTAACATTGATTTGCTTATCAAGCATGATTCTCAGAGACACACGCCTACTGATCAAGACTCTAGTATTTATCTCGAGAACTTAGTAGCTACTCTCCATGCCGCTTGGCGCGCTGCCGCCAAACATAACGAAGTTCAGCGCAACAAGTTCAAGTCTCAGTTTGATAATACGCATCCCTCTCCATTATCCATTAAAGTTGGCGATCGAGTTTATTTACGTGATTTTGCTCCTAAGGTTGGACTTTCTGCTAAACTAGCTTATCCTTGGTTAGGACAGTTCCGCGTTTTGGAAGTCAATCATCCTCATCTTACCATACTTAGCATTACCGCACCACAGTCTAAACCTAAAATTGTTCACATGAATCAAGTTAAGCGATGTTTTGAACTTAGTGGTCCTGTATTTACTACTCCTTGGCAGCCAGAGCCTGAACAATTAGCCTTAACTCATCATCAAGCCATTGATACTGATCTGGTAGGATATCAGCATCAAACTCTGACCGACCAGCCTTTGACGGAATCTGAACCGCCCCCATCACATCCGTATAACACTCGCTTTAGATCACGAAGAACATCACTTTAACCTGTTGGTTGCCCTCCCAGTATTCGATATCGTTCATATGTGGATTCAGAATTATTTCTTCCCAACACGTTTCATTTTCACAAACACTTGTTATTTCATCACAGATTTTCTTATGTCCTCCTCATTACAGTTCTCGCGTATAGTGTTCACGTTTATTGCCTACCGTCGCCTTATAACCTCGTGTTTTTCGCTCACCGTCGCATCGTTCGTCTCCCTGACATCAGGCAGATCACTATATTTATGCTTGCAGATAAGCTTGGCGAAAAGCCCCTTGCGTTCATATGTCTTCGCTAACTCCAGACGCAAACGATCCTGACCCCGGGCAGCCTGCTAATCCTAGCGCTAGCCCTGCTGGGCCCTCACCAGTGACATCCTCGTCAGATTTGTTTAGCTTTCGCAAGCCGTGACTCGGCATGCTTTCAAGTGATCATAAGATTCCCTTTCCATACAATTCTTCGTTTACCTTCTGCTCGTATAATTGTGACGTTCTGTCGTTTAGGATTACCCGGCGAGGCTATGGAAGGCGACTCGACAGTTACTCCTACACCAGCTGCAGGCATGGAACAACTGACCGCGCCTACTCATGTGCCACTCACCTCTGAGCCGAGAGAAATGGAAGCATTGATGTCCACTTCTTCCACCAGTGCCGAGCGTGAATCTTCCTCAACCTCTGATCTTGGGGTCCCCGCACGCGAGGAGCATGACAGCGAATGGCTTTGGCTTGAAGATCGTCTTGACCAGTTTGATAGCTACATTCGTGATCCTCGCGTAGCGAAGAAGCGCATGGCTCATCTCTTTAGAGTTGCTTGTTCAGCACTCGCTGCGGCCGAATCGTCTACTGAAGAACCTTGAGCGGAATCTCATCCTCTCATACGCCCTGGCAGTTTCTCGCTCGTTATCGACTTCTTGCAAGTACCTGATGGTGTTGCTCAGTTCTTCCTCCCAGGACATCGTAGTCTGCCTCAACACCGCCTCCCTATTCAGTGCGTCCCACCCCGAGGGCCTTTTTTTCGAGGAACACCTGCCAAACTACGAAACGCTTATCCGCGATGAAGCTTTGCAAGGTTGCGATTGCCGCTCAGCTCGACCAGTGAATCCTTCACCTTCCAAAAACGGTGGGACCTTTATACCTAGTTATCTTTATATCCACTTATATTTAGCTGTTTTCCATATATTTATATACTAATTGTTAAATACTATGCTGTACTGTACCAACACCTATATACTTTCTCATATATTTCTTCTTAATATGCTTTACTTTTACATACTTTTTCTTAATTAGAAGTCCGAGGACGGACTTGTTGGTAAATAAGGGAGGTGTAAGGGAGATGCTTTTACATCTCCGTTTGCATCTCCGATGGAATGCCAGAAGACATGATTCATATGTTTAGGGCGTGACCGACGATACGAAGCCTCGAGGAGTTGCTCCTTCGCCCCGACACCGACCGGCCGTCCTACCGTACCCCTCCACGTCTCTGGCTGATGCTGTTCCGATCCAGTACCTATCCAATCTCCAAGCTCAACTACTTCACCGATGATCTCCTATTCTCGCATATTCATATACTGTCCTCTGTCTACATTGATGCCTTAACGATAAACTACTAAGTACTGATCGGTGTTCTGTTCTTGCCAGCCAGGAGCACGCCTCCACTGCCGCTACGCTTACTATAATTACGCTCTCCACCTTATGCTTCTAGTTTTTCAATGATTGCAGAAGAGTAACGTTCCAAAAGTAATCCTCTTTTCGCCATTTCTACTTTTCATCCATCAGTGGTAGTTTCATACTAGTATGCATGAGAATGACAAAGAACCAAGTGTTAGTGGAGGTTGGAAGAGTTTTTTCTTCTGCTTAAGCTTTTCTGGAGGTGAGAATAGAGGGTTCCACTTCTTGTCTTACTCCTATCTTAACTTAGAGATGATTTTTCGTTCATATGGAATTAGAAGCGTCAACAGTGCGCGCGTTGCGTATGCGCTGCGGAGGTACATATGGGTACCTGGCCGGGGTCCACACTATACACAAATTATCTTTTTTGGGGGAATTCTTATGTCTTATTTCGAAGTTGCTCTAAATGTATGCTGGAAGTTTTTACCGTGATAACACAACAAGAAAAACATGGGTGATTGGCTTGCTGTATTTACAGCTGAAGCCAGCCCTACAGGATGTTACTAAAAGGCTGACAGTAGACTTCGTGAGAGGTATTAGCGATGAAACAGTGTGTAGATGCACTTGGAACACCCCGTGTTTATTGTGGATATCGAATTTTCGAAGAGTAAATTCTTTTCGAATTTTCGAATATTCGGGGCTCATAGAATATTTGAATATTCGAGAGAAATCGAATGATCGAATCAATGACGATCGAATATTCGACTTTCTAATGATATTCGAAATTAAAAATCTTCACATTTTCGACCATCGAATACTATTCGAAATCTCAGATTTTCAAATAATCGAATTTTCGAATCATTCGCATTCGAGATTTATTCGAATAATCGAATAATCATTGATTCGGTCCATAGTATACTGTACTCGGTCGGAACTTCAGTTTCAGTTATGATTCAACACTATTTTTACAAATCGACTGAGCGTTACCGCTTCAGAATATCAGATTTCACTTTTGTACAACCTGAGACTAGCTCAAAATATGGATATGATAGTTTTGGCGACGTTCCGAGATGATTTTCTTGAGGAAGACCTTTATCGTAGTATTTGACAGGGCCGGAAGGAGTCGGGTAAGATAACTAGTCTATGAAGTCAGAACAATGAAGATATATTTCCACTTTATCAACATAGTTTCAACGAGATTGGAGACAAGATATACAAACTGATGAACAGTAACACCAGCACAACTTGGTAATTCACCTGACGGTCCAGTAAAGGCCAAAAATCAAGTTATGAGGTGATGTGATGGCACGAAGTGTTAATAGATACCTATGTGATTACAACGAGTAGACAGCAGGAGTCAAAATTTCGCGTCTGGGCGAGTCACATCTATGTCGCGACCCTCGCCCAGTGGTGAAAAGTACCATGCAACTTTCTCATCAGTGACCTCTTCCAATGTAGCAGGTTTCCACTTGGGGTTTCTGTCTTTGTCGATAAGGACTGAAGAATTATCATATTATTTCTAAACTTCTAAACTGATAGATTCTAGCAGAGCTTACTGGCTCGGCAACCCTCATAGAAGTCATGATCTTCGAGGCAGCGCTGTGTGAGCTGATATTCCATAGTGAACACCTGGAGCAGATGCAGTGATTACGTAGAGTTGAGGACAGCAAGGATATACCTCATTGAACTTCATATTAGCACCATTTTGTAACTGTCTGAGGGTAACTTTCATAGAAGTCGGACTCATTTTTGACAGCGTAGCAACTTGCTTCTTAGACCAATCAGAATTTTCCTTCTTCAGATTTTCTAGGATCTCTTCGACAGTCCTGAGATATACGATTTCACAACAGGTCCTCTCCTAATAAGGTGAGGGAGTTGAAATAACGAACCTCGCCTGAAAGGTCTTTTCGATGACCGGCAGTTGCTGCTCAACAGAGAACTTGGGAACAGAAGATGGCTGAAGCTCGCGGATTGCAGCTTCTACAGTCTTCTCAGTGACATCATCCAACGAGACAAGTTTCTTTTGCAGTTCGCCTAATTGTGAAGATGGCACCTGTAAGAGGTTTAACACAAATCTGGAAAAGGGAAAATGTTTCAAACCTACATAGTGTGTTGCTAAGCCAGCGTGTAATGCGTCAGCACCTTGTAATCGGTAGCCTGTCAACGCCAAATAATTGCCAAGATTATGCTACAAAGAGCAGAAATACGCCACATGTTCCTTGGACAGAGAAATTTGTAAAAAGCAAACCTTCAGCCTAGAGAGGAAGTACGATCCTCCAACATCAGGAAAAAGTCCCAGTGCTGTTTCGGGCATGGCTAGCATTGTGCGTTCGGTGCACACGCGAAATTTGCCATTTACGGACAAACCACAACCCTACATTGTTAGATTCATATGAAACAATTTGAATTTGTACAGAAGACTCACTCCTCCCATTACAATCCCATCTATGAAAGCTACGAAGGGCATTGAAAGGCTGCCAATGAGATAATTGAGGAAGTACTCCTCCCTAAAAAGCATATAGCATAGATACCTGTTCCCATGACAATCTAGCTACCTGAAAAAGTCTTTATGGACAGTAGAAGTCGAACCTTCTTTGGCCGCTTTAGCTGATTTTACCACAGCTGAATCCCTTAAAAAATTAATTCAAGGAGAAAAATGAAACTGTAACCAAGGAACAATAAGATTCACCGACAACATCTCCTCCAGCACAGAAAGCCTTTTCACCCGCTCCCTTCAGAATGATCAGATTGACATCCTTGTTCTTCTCCCATTGCTAAATAAGAGTGGATGAACCTGCTCGTGATTGTTCCAAGAGATCGATGAGATAGGTCGGTAGTCGATAGCAACTGTGTTCAACATCTCTGCGGCAGGGAGTCCTCTCTTGGAAGGGGCCAGCGGTGCTGATGCACATCTCCCGTAACTACACATACTATAAAATCGACCGGAAAAATACCCGCCATACTTGATCCTCTTGATCCGCTCAATCCACTTGATCCGCTTCGCGTAAAACGCGCGCACTCGGCAGTCTGTCATTTGGCGTCACGTACAGCGAGTTTGCTTAGGTAGGTGCCAGAGTAAGCGAATATTTTGTTCAAGTTGGGGTCCCGCGCAGAACTGGCATCACTAATCATTGTGGCATAATGCCAACTTGGCGTTGTGCCACAATGATTAGTAACACCAGTTCTGCGCGGGACCCCAACTTGAACAAAATATTCGCTTACTCTGGCACCTACCTTAACCATAAGAAAAAGTTAAATACGAGATTGCTTTTTACCTACGTCACGCCAAATGACAGACTGCCGAGTGCGCGCGTTTTACACGAAGCGGATGACATGCGACTACTCACGATTTTTCTGACGCAATTCCTCAGCAAAAAGCATTGGAGAAAGTAAGGAAAATTGAGGAAAGCAATTTTGGGGGAGAAACTAGCCCTCCGCCCATCTTGCAAGATGGCAATTGCACACTTCAACAGGAGATTTTGATCGCATGTGCGCAGTACGGCACTCTACTGCTGGTCAAAAAATCAGAGCATTTTTCGAAGTACTTGAAAACTTTCAAAATACCCACTGAAAAATATTCCATGATTGAAAAATAGTTTTAAAAATGCGGACCTTCATTTGTGGATAGATCTCGCGAATCATTGGGACGTTGAGAGCATTCAGTGCTTTTGGTCGGTTCAATGTTACCACTCGTTTGGATCCCTCTTTCTCCACAAGAACTTCCGAAGTGGAAGTGCTAAGCGTCATCTGCAGCACACTCTAGAAAGGGTGATTGTTTGCTATTATATGAGACTCTTATCTGTGTGAATGGAATCGATAACAAAAGCGGGTGCCTGGCACTAATAAGCCCTAAAAAACTAACAAAAAATGGAAAAGATACGAAGGTAAAAAAATTTCACCTTAATCGGAGCCCTTGTTAACCGTTGAAGTAGGTTAGAAGTCAGCATCTGTAAGAATCTCACAAAATTACTGAAAACATAAGTTTACAAGTTCAAACTGCGGTCAAGTGAAACATCCCGACTGAAAGACCTAGAGGTTTCAGGGCACGTCAAGAGGCGCGATTTTTATTGCCAGCCGGACATCAAATAGCAAATAAGCTACAATGCTCTACATCCTTTTGAATGTGTAAGAAGATATACTAGTCAGCCGCATGGGTTGTTCAGCCTTTTTATCTCATAAATCAAAATATAAATGTTGAAGGTCAAAAGCCCTTGAATCTTATAAAACTGGTGGAACACTCAGTTTTCCATCAAAGATGTCAAACTCAGCAAGTGGCAACTTCAAGCAGCTAGTAAGCCAAAACACTATATTCGGTATTTTTAAAGGCTCGGATAACACTGAACTTAAGTTTAAGTTGATCTGCATGGTAATCGCGCGTGTGGAACGTCTCCCGAGGTTTGAGAGCACTACGCTGCCAAATATGAATTTGTCATTTGATTGAAAATGTCAATAGAATTGTTCTGATGCCCATACTGTTCACTTTTTTCAGAGACTTTAGAAGCAGTGTTTGGGCAATTCGGGAGCACTCGGTCTATAATTTACTGAAGCGGGCTACCCATGCGAACCGTAGCTCGACTGCAACGGCAAATTATTGCTTCTGAACGAAATCACCTCAGAGTTCTAAAATGCCCCTTGGCGCTTTACCGACTCAGACAATCACAAAGGACTTCAGGCGCAAATTGAATTTCTATGACTTCCGAGGGACGCTATTGGTTTGTGTGGCGTGGGCCACACCCTACACGGTTTCAATGGGAGTGTCCCCCCCCCCCCGGAAGTTTTAAAACATCAGTTTGCGCCGAAAGTCCTTTGCGATTGTATGGCACGCGCCATACTTGATCCGCTTGATCCGCTTCATCCACTTTGCCATTGGTCAGTTGGCTGATTTGACCAATGGCGAAGTGGATGAAGCGAATGAAGCGGATCAAGTATGGCGCGTGCCTATGAGGAAGTACGAGACGATGGCGTCGCAACGGCCGTGTCGCGCCGGTCTCCTCCTTCGGTAAGGGCCAAGGGGCGTATATGTTTAGAATTCTAAGGCGATTCGCATTTAGAAGCAGTAGTTTGCAGTGGCAACCGAGCTACGGTTCGCATGGGCAGCCCGCTTCGATAAGCTATAACTGAAGGCTACCAATTTATCTGGACATTTGACCTCATGTGTTACAAATGCGAAGATTGATGGCTTAGTAATCTAGGAGAATAAAATGCAAGTAGCTTTGCAAAAGAAGAACGACTAAGGGCCGCATGCACTAACATCCCCGCGGGGAGGGGATGTTAGTGCATCGGCCCTAAAAGATTGTCCTTTTTCAGTAACCGATCCCCCACAACTTTGGTCGGTGTAGACAAACTGATTTTGCAGGAAACTTTGTTTCGCGAACCAAAACACTTCCAGTCTTCATTCATTTTGAACAATATGAATCCTCTATATTAAAAGAATGGTAAGCGAAAAGTGAATCTTTTGGGGCGCCCGTGTTTTTCGCTGCGTGACCCGAATACCGTAATCCAAAATGAAATTGGCCTAAATTTTTGGGTTGGTCAGTTACGTCAGTTTGAAATTTGCAACTCGTTTTATCGCTTTCGTCGGCTTTCTCTTATTCGTCGGCTTTCTCTTATATATATATATATATATATATATATATACAAGCTACCTTATTTTCGATGTATGTATTTCCTTTAGACACACTATCAAGAGTGAAATCTCAAATTTTTTCCAGGTGCAGCATCTCTCTTCCGTCTAGAAACTTCAAAATTGCTTTCTTTAGTTGATTCTCGTGTCACTATTTTTTATGCGGAATTAAGATGAACTAATTGCGAACTAACTCCTTTCTTGCATAGTTAGGTAAGTTAGTCACATAGACGTATCTTTTCATTCAATTCCCTCTTTTCTATTATCTTCTTCTTCTCAGATAAAGCATAAGCAGAGCCGAAGTCACGGATTTGTCCAAAAAAATTGGCATGTTGATTCCAAGAGAAACGACTTCGTTCACTACTCTTGATTTTTTTGTCGTTCTCAATATCTTCAGCGAGGGTGTTTCGTCACCGCTTGTGGAATTTCGTGGAGAAGCGGTTTTACCCCAGAATTGCATTATTTGTTTCTATTTGGGATGAATTTGATCCAACAGCTGACGCATGCCTTACAGTTTAGTAAGCATGTGCTTCTTTCTCTTTTTGTTATCCTCAAAGATTTTCTGTTCTCCATCGCATAGATGTCCTCGGCATTTTTGTAGTGATCAAAACATTTTTCACAGTATGGTTTACTAAGAACATGATCACAGGCATTCATCAAAACGTATCCAAATTAGTCACAATGTCAACTTCCGTGCTGCAGTATTCTTGAATCTAGACTGTGAAGCTAGCGCAAGTGTTAGTAATGAGCTACCAAAGTCTACACTAACTATTAAGAAATTTTGTAGTTTCTTTATGGTAGTGTGTCTGAAAAAAAACGTTGAAAATAAGGACTCTAAACAAGATTAGGGCTCTATTTGTTTGTAGCACGTTATCTCGCAGCCGATGGAAGTTGGGCATATACCGTACGTACAGTATTTAGCCAACGTCCATCGGCCGAAAAATAAGATGCTCCAAACAAACAGAGCCTAAATCTTTTTGAAAGGCTTTGTTTTAGCCTTTTTTTTCAGATGTACTAACAAAATGAAAATATCATGTTTCCTTCAAATTTCAGAACCTCTATCCTCTATGAAACTCCTAAATTGCTAGATATGATGAGTTCTTATGTAATTGGTGTTGTTTTTCGAAGCGAATTTCAAGAATAATAATTGCTTTGCGAAGTACTTTTCTCTTGCAACTTAGTTTCTCAGCCTACAGCTGCAGGCTGTACCGCCGTGAAGCTAAGCTCTCAAGTTTGTCCGGAAGAAATGTCATGTGTACCATTGTTGATTTTTCGTCGCTTCAATATCTACATGTTTCGGTTCTTGATACATTTTTGTCTCTGTTCTTGTCTATCCTTTACGGTTCTATATTTTTCACCTTTTGTGTGAACATATCTGCTTATAGGGGTATGAGATGTATCATTGATGCGGGAGTTCCTTCATGTAGTTGCACATATAAGCGAGCAAGAGGAGTCGTCACCTGACTCATCAGAGGTATGACCTTTCTTGTGTTCTGTGCTCTACTTTTCCATTTCATCATTTTCTTATTTAGATATCACCTTATGAATGTCCTCCCCCTATTAGCTAGCCTTTTCGTTATCATCAAAATGTTTGCGCGACTTAATCATTCCATTTTAGTTAAGATATTCGAGGAAGATCGCTTTCAACTTCGTGCGCCGTTGCTATGGACTTATGAGGTAAGAGCTCTCACTCATTCGTTCTGCTTGAACTTCGCCGATCGTTTTTTTTGAAGGATGGATCTCACGCCTAAGTGCAATCGAACAGAGGAGAGCTCAAGGGCCATTGACGTGAGCATTGTGTAAACTCTGCTACTTACACTCGAGTTATCAAAACCAAATTCTACTTAAGTTTAACTTTTGTGTATTCATATGTTTTTTTATTTTAGCTATCCTAACGTTCCTAGGTTCTTGCCTTTTCTTGAAGAAATGGTTAGACTTAACATGACTTCATTGACTTGTAAGCAGTATTTCTGTATACATAATGGTCCCTGATACCGTTGTCGATAATGACTATGTGGAACAAATAGACTTACAAAAGTACTTTGGAAACTTTGTACAGGGATTTCTTGCTTTTGAGGTGAAGTTGTACTCTATATTGCTGAGTGATATTATCATTTTCTCTTTTTGCCCTATATCTGGTGCGATTTTGTTGCGAATAAAGTTGTTTTTCTTTCTGCCCTGTCAAACGAAGAATAGTGAGCAGAAAAAATAAGATGAACTTAAGTATTGACAAAGGCTAAATTCTGAAAGATATCGCGGCTATATTGAGTTCGAGGTCCGGCTGGATACAAATTGAATTTGACATTTTGCCTGAAAATGAGGATTCTTCTTACTTTGAGACTCGAAAGAAAACTGCTTTGCAGCATTTATTGTGTTTGATTCATCTCTATCCGAATGATAGCTACATAACTGCATAGAACTGATGCAATTCCGTTATTCTTATTCAATGCAGAAGCTAATCGAAATGTCATAGGCTTCCAGATTCGTAGAGGTGTGGAGGCGGAGTCTTGCCATCTCACAGCGGGGCGGTTTTTGCTAGCGAGAGAGTACGAAAAGCAATGCTATAACATGGAGGTTCAACAAGTTTATCCTTGTTACCAAACAAAGTTTGCAACACACCTCCACACGAACCTGGCAACTGATCATATGTGTGAGTTAGATGACGACCAAATCGGATTTCGCTGCCAAATCTCACACTCAATCAGTTAGCTATCAGCAAACAATCTACGAGTCTACAACTTGCGTTACGTAACTTTCCTTATACACTGAGTGATCACATCTACCAATTTTACACAACGAACTCTTATGGACAAAACAGAGTAGTCAAAGAGGACACCGCCACCATTCAGGTGCCAGCCTATGCGCCACAAGAGCGTCAATCTGACTAATTGACTCGAGGCCAGCACTAAACAGCAGGCAAGGAGGCGTGGCCATCGTTCCCTCGCCTCCGCTGGGTTTTGTCGCCTTCCGCACCACACCCCAGCTATCATTCTATAACAGAAAAATAGCAACGTATTGATTAGCACTTTTTGCACCGGCCTTACATTCTTTTTTCACAAAAACGCCACTTGGTGGGGCAACGGTGGGTATAAGTAGAAGAGTCACTTCAGTTTTGGCTGAATTTTGGTCTAGGGGGTTTTCTGAGGTGCTAATCACGAATACATATTCTTTCTGCATTCTGCGGCGAGCTTAGTCTTCCAAAATCCTTCGAACCAACGTACGCCGGGCCCTGCGGTTTTGGCACGAAAGATGAGGGGGACGCTGTGAGCATACTGACTAGAAGTGCATTGAAGGGGGAGGAAGATACTGTGACTTTCTTCAGTAAGCTTTTGAAAAAAGGGGGTTTTGCAGACGGGACAGTTCCTTGAATAACAAAGAAAGAGTGGACAACTTCACTGTGGACTTTTAGAGGGAAAAAATTAGTGCATTTTGGCTAAGAAACTGGGAATGGAGACTAATTAAACTAATATTTTAAGGCTAGAGTGATGAGGAAATTAAGCTCTTGTGGAAGACAGTCTTTCCGCACGGGCGGTCTCCAGCGCTATCCTGATTTTGACTTGTCTTAACACGTCAGCAGGCCGCAAATCTTTCTTCCGCCTGCTTTGCTTAGGCAGAAGCCGCCGCAGGGTGTTCCGCGCGCGACAGTAGTCCTGTGTGGAAAGCAGTACGGACGCGAATCGTCCTCATCCTCCTCTAATGTTTGACGGAAAAAGCTGCTAACGCTTTGAAAAAATTTTACACCAAAAAGAACGTACAATATATCAGCTAAGAAAAGCCACAGAAAAGAGAGCTACGTGAAGGACGCTATACGAGAGAGTCTCGATAAAAAGCGCGAGTTGTAAGGTGTGCATTTCTGTTTTGGAGAATGAGCTTCACTAAACGCGACATCTTTCTTGACTCCAAACGTTCTTCTGCAAGCAGTCGTACTTTCGTCATTAGAACTATATGCGCACCATGCCTTCCCAGCAGAACTTTCCAATCAAAACATCACTAGATGAAGTTTATTAGCTTTTACGGCATCGGAAAAGTGTTATACGAGGCTTTGGTGACTCAATACAACATTTCTCACACCTGTTAGCCATTGGGCCGCTAGTGCTAACGACACTAGCACGTTTTTTTCCAAAGAAAAAACAAAGCAAAAACCGCAAAGCTGCAGCGATATTCCGCCCAACTGGGCCTGCAGAATTGTTTACTGCGGTCTGCTGTCGCTAATCGACGCCTGACACCACCGCGAGTTTCGAAGTTCTTTGCGAATTGCTCTCTGTCAAGATGGCCGAAAGCTCGACCGTAGAAGCTTTCAAAGCTCCACCGCTTCCTTTGCACAAAGAGTTGAAGCATCTCGATGACGGGAGCGTTGAAATCCCGGCGGCTATCATGGTACGTTTGTGTACATTTTCTTTTTTTTGATCCCACACCTTTGAGTAGCTTAGGTTTTTTACCCATGTTTCAAATGAATTGTTAATTACAAAGGTTGGCAAGAAATCCAGATGTAATTCAAGAAAAAATCTGTCTCTAATAGGTCATGTGTTCAGTCTTTCCTCCCTGTATACGCACCTACTCGTTTATAGTTGCACATTGTGTTAGGCTGTTGTGTAATCACACACCGCGCACGAACTCCGGAAAATAGACAGGGCAGACGGCATAAATCTTAGTCTTTCGCCAAGTCTCTTTCTGACTCTTTCCATAAATTCGACAGCTTTGTTTTGTTGGGGTTTTGTTGGGTTTCGCTGTAGCTTTCAACCAAACAGAACTGTAAGTGGAATTTCATGTACAGTTTTACAATCACGGAGTTTAAGTAATCTTGCCCATTTTAGCCAGTCGAAGAAGAGCCTCATTCGCCAGTGGAGCGTGCTGCTGCTGAATCGAAGATCTCCATCAGTCATCCTGCACTTCACTATACTGCTCCTCCATGGGCTTCTGTTCCAGATCCTGGCTTAGGATACAGACTCGAGGTAACTTTTTGTAAATCGTTTGCTTTGCTTTTTTTTGTGGAGCAAGTGTATTTTTCTAGATTGTTAAAAATGGTGCCATCGTTGACACTATAGATTTGGATAACAGGAAACATGAAACTTTTGTCTTGATTGGAAGGTTACCCAACTGCGACGTGGTTCTAGGTAAGTTGTTCGTACTATTTTTTATTCATTTACTCAAATAAAGTAGCTTTTGCAATAGTTAGAGAGCTTCAGGTTTTTATGCTAAAGGTTTTATGCTTCAACAATGCTATGTAAAAATTCGTATTTAGACCATCCCTCCATCTCTCGTTACCACTGCGTACTGCAGTATGGAGAGGATCCTATGGATAAGTCAGGCAAAGGGTGGCACATCTACGATATGGGCAGCACACACGGCAGCAAAGCGAACAAGAATAAAATCCCTCCGAAACAATACATGCGAATTAGAGTTGGATTTGTGTTGCAATTTGGAGGTATACTTTCTTCTTTTCCCCTTTGTTTTTCATCAGTCAATCAGATTCACCACTTATTAGGTAGCACTAGATTGTTATCCCTTCTGGGACCATCGACAGACTGCGAACCAGAGTGGGATTACTCGCCAACTGAAATGAAGGAGAAGATGCATAAGAAGGTTTTTATTCAGTCCTGTCAATTTCCCTAGTTTCATTCCTTTCTTTATTACTCTATTGGCATTATCTGTTTTAGGCACTAGAAGCAAAATTAGCGGCTGCTGCGAAGAAGGAGTTTGAAGAAGAAAAAGCGAGAGAAGCTGAGAAGTCTGAAGGGATCGACTGGGGAATGAACTATGGTGAGGACGACGAGCCAGCACCAGATGTATGTTTCGCAGTTGCATTCATCGGCACTGTCAAGACATCAAATCTTCAGATCGAGTTAGATCCTCATCTGATGGAAGACCGAGAGCAATATTACAGAGCTGATCCAAAGAAAGCTTTGGCCAAATTTTTTGAGCGGGAAGGCTTCGATATGGAGTTTCAGTTGACCGAACAAGGCAGCGGTCATACACACAAGTGGTTGTGTTCCATAGAGTAAGTCAGACTTGTTATTTATCGTTTTTTTTAAACTGCTGTGCATCGGGCAGTCTTACTTTTGATTCTTCCTATGAATTCCCACGTTTTTCTTTCGAAAATCGTTGTTTATCTAGTGGACTTCATGCAAGCTTCACGCATTGGTGTTTGATTACAAAGCGCAGGAAAATTTTTTTGCAGATTACCTATCGAAGTAAATGGGATTGATCGTGCGGTTACTGCTCAAGCCACAGTTTCAACTTCGAAAAAGGACGCCCAAGTGCAGTGTGCTTTAGAAGCCTGCAGAATACTTGACGCTCACGGAGTTCTAAGGTATCTCATCAGTGAATATTCTCCGTTCATACTCTAACTGTCGCTCCATAACGGCACCCTCACACTCATAGGCAATGCCGATACATAAGGGCTTTTTATTGGTAACTTCGATTTCTTGTAATGTTTGAAATAGACTTTTTCAAAATTTTTGCTTCCATGCCGACTGTCTTTGAGTAGGCACATAGCCGTTACTCTTTTCATTGACATATGGCAACATAGGAAAGCTCTATTTTAAAATAAATGCGTTTCTACAACCCGGAGATGATTTCTGAGCTGCTAAAAATCCGGAAACCTACTAAAATACTTCAGGCGATCGACAAACAAGAGCAGAGCGAAGAATAAAGAGCTGGAAGCTAACGACTTCTATGATGAAGATGATGATGAATATCTGGACCGCACGGGTCAAATCGAGAAGCAGAGAGAAAAACGGATGATGTGGGCCAAGGTCTGAATTATGAGAATGTCTTCCCATTCTTCTTCCCTGGCTTAGAGTGCCGTTTCAGAATCAGCCGGGTGGAAAAGTCGAAAAGAAGAGCACATACGAATCTTTATGCAAAGAGTTGGAAGAGACTCGTGCAGAGATCGCAAATTTGAAAAAGATGCTAGATGATTTAAATACTGTAAGCCATATTTGCTCTCGTTTTGTAGAAAAATTCGTTGTATTATATTAGGTGAAAGCAACACAGAGCACAGGAGACTCACTGGATGACTACTGCAGGACATTGAATCAGGGCGCGGATTTGAAGGTGAACGAAATACAAGATTGCAGAATAATATACTCATTAAAGCTAATTTCAGTCAAAAACTGAGATCTCAATGCTTCGGCAAAAGCTTGTCGGTCTTACACATGACGCTCAGCGACTTGAGAAGCTTGTGAAAATAGCGAAGCCGGTAGCTTTGCCAGAGCTCAAGGTAGCAGGAGCAAATGTATCTGGTAAGTTTAACGATCTCTCAGTTTTACCCCATCATATGTTCGCAATACTTGCTAGGGGCTGACAAGCAAGCCTTTTTGCGCAAAATGATGATGCTCGGGAGGAAGAGAGCTGCTGACGAAAAGGCTGCAGAAAAGGAGGAGAAGGAGAAGGAAGTGAAAGGCCCAGCATCAATCCCTGCACACATGGAGAAATTCAAACCAGAAATGGAAGATGAGGAAGAGGTATGTTGTTTGTTTTTGCTTATTAGTGTTCAAAGAACCTCTGACAGCTTCAGGAGCCTGCTTCCGATGAGAAGCCGACTTCTTCGGTTTCCAGCGCTGAAACTACGGAACAAGCTCCATCCTCCTCTTCACCACATGTCGAGGAAGAGAAGAACCAGCCAGAACAACCTGTAGTGGATTCAACTACAGAAGACAAGCCCGCAGCTGCTACTCCGAATCCGGTTTCGATGAGGCTCACAAAACCTGGAAATGCAGAACCGGTCAAAACTAAGCAACAGATTGTCCATGACATTGTTTATGGAGACGACGACAAACGGACGAATGTGCCAAGGAGATCGCTGTCTACTGATGCAGATGAAGATGAAGAGGGAGGAGGTCCAAAAAAGAAACGCCGTGTAAGAGTTCGACCAAACCGACCTACAACGTTAACTCCTGGTGGTGATTATGGAGATGGGTAAGTTTCAACTTCCATCACTACAGTTTATGTGTTCTCTTATCTTTGCATTTTGAGCATGGATGATGACAAGTATGCTACGTGGCTTCCTCCTGAGAACCAGAGCGGTGATGGAAAAACTGCACTGAACGAGAAATTTGCGGGGCGATACTAAACCATTCAACAATACCCATCCCTGACTGTATACCTCAGTTTGTAAAAATGTTTTTTTTTGTAATGTACACTCTTTTTGAGGTAGGCTGTTCATATACAACAGGCTTGCATACTTTTACTTGACATTTTTGTTTTCTGTGATGTTGTTATTTTGCCATTGAAATGAGCAGAAACACTTCATGTATAAATATATTGTTTGTACATCATAATGTTCAGCTGAAAAATAGCTGTTTTCTGTTTGCGAAACGGAGATGCAGCGCAAATACACTCGCGACGAAGGTAGTTTTGCTGTCTTCAGAATGTTGAACCTATAGACGACGCCACCACTGTGTAGCTCAGTAACAATTTATTTCCGTTTATTTGATAATCCCACGAGACGTAAGTAGTCGTTGAGTCATCTATCGCACAGACTGGCCGTAACTTGCGGACATGCGCGGCGCGGCTGAGATATTACAATAGCACCACTTATATACACTGGATATACTAGCGATTCGTACTGGTAGCGGGCCGCGTGGTGTGCGCTCCGCAATCTACGGCCTTCCGTGCGGTTAAAGACTCGAAGTAGGCTACAGCTACTCTACTGAATATGACGTTTGGTCCGTTAATAAAGTGCGAGCGGGCGGGAATAGTGGATTGACTAGCTTTCTACACACACTCATCATAGCAGTTGTAATAGTCAACGTTTCCGTATTTGCTTTTTGAGTCAGGCTGTTCGTGACTACTGCTCGGGCAGGTGTCCGCAGTTTAGTGAGCTGGATCGTAGGGCTAGTATAGCCCAGTCAAAGTGGTGCAAAGAAGTCGCTCTGTGCGTGCTTTACTCCCTGTCAGTCTTCTTTAGTCTCTTCGATTATGGCGATAAGAAAGAATGCTTTATATAGATGAGTCAGTCATAACTCTCCATTTCTGTTAGTTTTCAATTGGATTTGTGTTACAATCGCGTTTGTATTCTAATTTTCAATAGAAAATCAATAACCATCTAGAAAATCGTTGACTTTTTCACTTCATTTTGAATACATCCTCCATCGACTCTTGCGTTTGATGAAGGACAGGGCAAAATATATTGTACAGAACGCTAGTGAGGAACACATTGTATCTTTTTTCCACTGCTGACATCAAACTTCTTTCCCAATCCTAATCGTAATGATGACGTCCCCCCCTTGACCCGTTACTGATTGGTGGAGCCAATTTTTCACGCAATGATGGTGCTGACTTCAATCAAGACCGAGGCGAGGCACGTAATGAGTTAGAAATGACGTCACCGCTGAACAAAAACTGGCGATTAAAGCCGTACTGTTGATCGATAAAATCTGCATGTGATTTTTGGGCGTACGCAATTCTGCGACCAGCTGTCGTTTTCGCTCTCACATCTGTGCTTGCGTGTTCTTTTCATGAACTTTCAACTCCTTCTGCATTCTGGAATTTTCTTTTGTGGCCATGTAAATCTCACAGAGATTTATTTTATTGTTCCCGAATGTTATTTAATATATGGTCGCGGTATATTACTGGGCGATGTGTTGAGTTTTTATGTTACTTGGTAATTCACGAGATTTCAGGAACTGGTATTGTTGTACGTGACTGGGACGCCCCATCTTTCAGAATTACTCACTGGCTGTCCCGTGCGCACAATCCCTGTAGCTGGATATTAAATCCAATGGTAATAATCTTGGAAATTTGATTGTGATGCCCTTCTCGAGTTTCCTCATCGGTATCTTTGAAGGGTGCAAACTCATCATCACAATTGGAACGTGAAATAAATGGGGAACCACATTCAGGAAATGAACACTATTATGGACTAGTCAACGTAAGTATCTATCTTGTTAGACATTTGTTATGAGTTTTGCATTCATTTGCTTGATTTGCTGCCTGAGTTGACATTTCGCAAGTTATATTTACGGAACTTCTTGTTTTCTAACATATCGCGTTTCGTTTCAAATCCTGCTGTTCTAAGTTTGAAATATTTACAGTTTGGAAATACATGCTATTGCAACTCCGTCATTCAAGCTTTATATTTCTGCCGTCCATTTCGTGAAAAAATACTCCAGTATAAGCAGCAACTCAAAAAATCAGGTATGTTACCAGTCACTGGATTTTGTTCATCTAAATATTTTATGACGATGTTTTGTCTGTATATTTATCTGTTGTCTTTTTTCTTTGCTACATTTGCTCATTCTATGACCTCAACCTCCAACTGGCAACGATCTGGTACTTTTTTCAGTATCTGTACTCAAGTTTTGTTGGTACGTAGGAGTCAGTGTAAATAACTTCTAGTTTGTATATTAATGAACCAAACATGTACCAGGTGCATTATATAAACTTGATTTTGCGAAAAATACCTGATTGCTGCATCTCTTTCTAGATCTCTGTCCAGTTTTCAATTTCGCAATTCCATATGCATCTTTTGGCCACAGAAGTGAAGCTGGGCTTGGGGATATTGCAATTGGGAAGTCTTCTTTTGCTTGTTTTTGCAAAAGTCTCTGATAGTCGTAAATCTGTCATTTGATTGTGATAAGTAACGCTAGTGAAAACCAATACGTGAATTGCTATACGGACAGTATCACGTCCTTATAAACAATCTTTAGCAATAACTATCTGCAGTCTAGATAATATTTGCAAAAACTATTTTCAACACTGTTAACTGAAGTTTTTTTATCAGGTTTGAGCTGTCTCAGACTAACGTTTTTTCAGAGCCAAAAAGTGGTTTTTTTTCGTTCTATCGAAATGCTATGACCTTGCTGCTCCTCATCAAAACTCCTCCTCTAGAGGTCCTCAGTTGATGAGTCATATTGTGTAGAAAGCATAACTTGTGCTTCTCCTCATTTTGGTTTCGGTCCAGTAGTCAACGGTCATAAGGTCTTTTAGGTAGCCAAAAAGAAAACTTGGTGACATGCCTCGCTGACCTATTCCACAACATCGCTACACAAAAGCGGCGGGTTGGCACAATAGCTCCAAAACGATTTATCACCAAGTTGAAAAAAGAAAATGGTTAGCGATCGATTCAGCTTTACTGATTTTTCTAGTCTATTACAAATATTTTCATTGCTCTATCTTAGAACTTTTCGACAATTACATGCAACAAGATGCGCACGAGTTTTTGAACTACTTGCTGAACACAGTTTCTGAAACACTCATCGAGGAGAAAAACGCGGAAAGAGAGCGCATGATGAGGAACGGAACGCTACGCAAAGGCACTCTAGGAACAGATCGAGGTCGAGATGAAGCGAGCGGGTTAGTTTTTTGAAGCTTGTCGTGAAGTGCCATTTCGCTAGAGTTTTGGACCGAGTTTGTTTGAGTGATGAGTGGGATGCAATACATTTGATATAGAAAGAAGGGTTATTTAAGTGTAGCTGTTGCTAAAACAACCGTGGAATTCTCTTGAGAGTCAGTAGTCAAAGGCAATAGTTGTAGATCATCGTCAAAGACCGACACTACTTGGATCCACGAAATCTTCCAGGGAACCCTTACGAACGAAACTCGATGTTTGTGCTGTGAGACTGTAAGTCTTTGGTTATTCTCGTTATTTCATCGTTCTACATTGGTTTATGTTCATTCATTTTTGCAGGTCTCCAGCAAAGATGAGGATTTTCTGGATTTGTCGGTGGATATAGACCAAAATGCTTCGATCACTCATTGTTTGCGAGTTTTTAGTGAGACGGAAACCCTGTGCGGTGATCAGGTATGATTGATTGCTCAATCGTTTATTATTTTGGTACATTTAATTATTTTTTGAACATTATATTGCAGAAATACTTCTGCGAGACATGCTCATCGAAGCAAGAAGCCCAAAAGCGAATGCGTATCAAACGGTTACCGCATATGTTGGCTTTGCATCTGAAACGTTTTAAATACATGGATCAGCTCAGCCGATATACGAAGCTGTCCTATCGAGTACTGTTCCCATTGGAGTTGCGATTATTTAACGTGGTGAGTATTTTGACATTGCAAATCAACCTTAATGTATGAGAGTACATCTTTACAGAGCGATGATGCTTCAAATGGTGATCGTCTTTACGATCTAGTTGCTGCTGTTGTTCATTGCGGTGCAACGCCGAACCGAGGCCACTACATCACGATTGTGAAAAGCAATTCGTTTTGGTTGCTCTTCGACGACGATATAGTTGATGTGAGTGCGCTTGCCATTTTTGGTATTTCATCAACATGCCTCTATTTTTTCACAACAAAATCTATAATGTGAAGCGGCATAGCCGTCGTAGCTTATTTATTCACTTTGCACGGCGTTTATAGATCACTTTTTTAGGTTCCATTTACAATTCTTCCAATCCATATCTTGTTCGTCTTGTTTCTATTCTCTTTTGGAAATTCCATGCCACGTTTACTTTGTTTACTTTTTTTTAAATTCCTAATCCTATTATTCTGTGTATCTACTTATGCTCAAAACCCTCTAAGACGATAAGATGTTGCTTTTTTGGACGCAAATGAAGAAATCTGATTAGGCACATGAATGCAAATGATAGAGTGGTTATCAGGGTTGCGAGCTGAAAAGAATTTAAGATCATTCTTATTATTGGATGTGGGGGGGGGGGGGGGGAGGGAATATCTACATGAGTGATCAATCCCAGTTATCCCGAGGTCAAGTCTTCCCAGAATCATAGCGTGCTTGACATCTTTTCTTCTTGAATTTTCGTTAAATTGTCCTGCGACCTCTCTTAGTGAGGTTGTAGCGCCCTACAGGCTCATTTTTTACGTTAGAGGCACCGTCCACCCAAAGTGAGGTTGATGAGTTTTTGATGCCTAACTGCAGCGGAGCCTCCAACTGTATACTTGCTCAACTCGCGCTGTCAAAGGTTGCTTTCGAAGCGAGAAAACTGCTTTGAAAGTCGCTTTGGATGGCGGATACGCACGTTGGCTCCTCCCTTTGAGTGGGCGTAGCGTTCGTCCCGCCTATCAGTCCGCACCCAACCAATCACCGTTCCGGAGAACTCGCTTTACGGGTTCTGCGGAACGGGGATCGGGATTTTTGCGGATTCTCGACTTGAACAGAATCAAGGACATGAGAAGGCCCCGAAACGATACAATATGGAAGTTGAGATCTTGGGTGAACGTTTCTCAATGCATCTGTAGAAAGACTTCGGCCTTAGACGTACTCGAAATTATTAGAAGCACATTTCACATTGTTTCAGAAGATGGATATCTCATCGATGGAGGACTTCTTTGGACTCTCGGACGGCGGCTTGCAAAAGAATTCTGAGTCTGCTTACATCTTATTCTATCAAGCGCGGGACTGTCCAGACTTGCTGAAAACGAGTGGTTCAGCAATCTCGAATCACGCATCCATATGACGTCTGCTTAGCGCATCTGCAATCACTCGTCAATCTAGCTAAGTTGATAATGCTCTAGTCGCTTCACCCATGTGCAACAAGATACTTAGCGTAGCACATCGGTCTTATTCGCACAGGTCGATTTGTCAGTAATGTGGTTTTAAGAACCTCTTTCTGTGAAAGAGGTCGCATTACAGTGCACTTTATCCCAGATGCTAACATTACTGTAGTTCTTCGACTTACTACTTGGATAAGGGAACAGAGGATTTATGAATGAAGTTGTGATTTATTCCATGTCAATGCACATTTGTCGCCATCTTATATGCCTAGCCTTATAATGTTCGTCAAGATTAGATGAGATGCCAATAAGTAATTTCTATGTCATAGCTAGTACTTATATACTACAGTAGTGGTAGGATCCTCTATTTATGACTATGATTTCTTCTGATATTCATCCGCAATATTTCGCTTGTAAAACAATCTTGAAATTATGGGAGTCTCATTACTGTGTACTGAGAATCATAGGAAATGTTGGCCGCCCGGGTTAGCGTTAGGTGTTCTTCATTTGTGATGATTTTGAATGTGTACATATTTATTGACTCAATAAATTGACAAATCTTGCTATTTCGTGACTAGAACACGAATGACTCAACAATGCTGATGAGCATTGATAGGGCGGACAATTTAGCAACCGTAAATGTATGGAAAATGTACTTATCATTCGTTCTCTGTCTAAGAGGCACGCGCTTTGCGTACATTTGACTAACAAATTTATGAGTGCGTTCCAGTGTTTTGGTAAATTACTATATGCGTTCGTGAAAGAACATCTTCGAGTTCGTTAACCAGTGCGAGCTGAACATGTTTTCTTATGATGCCTAATTTACCAGAACGAGTTAAACACACTTTTAAACTTGTTAATCAGATGTACGCAAAGCGTGCAGTGTGTCCCTTGGTCAGAGAAGGAACGACATGTGTGTGTGTTGTGTTATCGGTCGATGTGAAAACGAATATTCGCAGGGTAATATTCGACGGCTTAGCGTGTATTTGAGTGCAGCGGCGGCGATGACAACATTTGCGCGGAAATAAATGTCATGCACGTGAATGCCAACTTGCTATAGTCGTCTTCCCCCCACTAGACACCCAGTGGACGATTTCAAATTTGAACTGGAGCATTCTGGTTGCAGCAGAGCGCGGCACATTCGGCTTTTCATTCAAACTCAAAGTTTTTCTTTGCATTTCTCCGACGTTTTATGAAATTTTTTGAATGCTAACAGTCTTCTTAGCTGAGATTGGAGATTGTATTGCTTTTGAGGAATGTTTCGTGCTGTTTTTTCAACTTTATTTGAAAATAGAGCTAGAGAGAACCATAAGGTATGAAACATCGCTAAACAACAACAAACTCGTCAGTTCTGATTACAAACGCCACTGAGATAAATGAATTACCATGCAACGACGAGAAATACAAAAGAACACTGCAAGAGCTTGAAACGAGTTTGACGGTGCCGCGCTCTGCCGCAACCGGCGTGCTCTAGTTCAAATTCGAATTCGTCCACTGGGTGTCTAGTGGGGGGAGGACGACTATACTTGAGCATAAAAAATGCCATTGAGTGCGCAGTGTCAGTGTTCACGCGCAAATGTTGTAGGCAACGCAAGAACTATATCAGCCCCTAAGTCAGCAATGCTATAGTAAAACCAGTTTACCACATAAAGGTTCTTCTATTGTCAGAACTGAGAAGTGAAGAAAAACTTTGACTTCTCAAAAGACTAAGCTAACTTTGGTGAAGAGGGTTTTGCTTCAAAAGATGTAGTACACAAATATTTTGACACCATAATTCGAAAAAAGTTTCGTTTATATATTCTTCCATGGAGCTGCTCGACAGGTCGATGCTGAAATTCTACGAAAGCACCAAAAAATGTGCGCTGATTTCATCCGGTGTTCTAAGAGCAGTTCCTCTGCATCGTGTAGTTGCGACCTATTAGCAAAAAACAGAAAACCAACTCGAGTAATTCCTTCGAATGTTCTCGAAGATAGTGATGAAGGTGACGCAACTGATAATGAGGTGTCTGGATAGAAGGAGAGAGAGATGAATTTTTTTATAACAACGCAAAGAACCTGAGTCAAAACTGCTACAGTAACACGCGCACACTATTTCGAGACAAAGTCTTGGTCCCACCTCGAATAATGGACGGTAGGTGTTTGAACGGTATGATTGTACTCAATCTCCGGAGATCCAAGCAATGAGCTCCGGTCCGTTTACTGACCGAGTTGAAGCAGAAGCTCGCGCAGAGGTATCCTATGATTTATCAGCTTTTCGAAATCCTGTCATGTGATTTCCGTTTATATATCTTCCCTTGTTCAGGAGGTGGAAAAGTATCTATCCGACCACGAGTTCAAAGATAAATTTGTGGAGCTGTTGAAGATTCTTCATTATACACCAGTACATAGCTTACCGTCAGATCCGGAGCAGCTTTACCGTTTCTTTGCAAAGGTAATTGAGAGATTTTGCTCGAAGCCTCGCTGCATTCTCTTACTGCAGGCTGTGCTAACTGGGAGCGGCTTTTTCCCGGTTTGGAGCCACACGTCCTGTTGGGTGACCATTTGGTAGCGGCTTTTTCCCGGTTTGGAGCCACACGTCTTGTTAGGTGACCATTTCGGGGCTACTCAGCTTTCTCACAGTGCCAGTTTCCACGCTTCTTTGGAATTGATCACTTGAACTTTCTTGAAAGTGCCTAATTGAGTACACGATGAATGAACGAAGGGTGCAGAACATTTCCTAGACCAATTTCATGCTTGGAATTATGGAGAGCTCGCTGTGCGAGTGAAGCAAGGTCCATGGTTGCCCACGCGCTATCAGTGCCGTTTCAACTCCGTCCCCTACACGTAGACACTCCCCCTCATGATTGAACGACTTTCCGACACGGTGGCGGAACGGCGATGGCATTTAGAGCTCTGGACGCAGCTTTAGCTAGTCCCAGCCGAATCCACACCATGACATTGATTATGTACGTCGTATAGGACATTCATAAATTAGTTCAGTCCCGGACTCATTGGTGGCGTGAGCGCGTCACGAAAGCGCGCTCCTACTACTTCCCCAATTGACGCGCCCCATCGCAAAGGTCACATTGGGAATTTTGAGAAAAAGTAGCCTCTAAAAAACACGTCAAATTTGCCGTGTTCACTCTTGAAAGCAGTGGCTCGAGAAAGTTGCGACTGCAAGTTTTCCATCCCCTCATCTCCCTGAATGCGCTTACTCTAGTTTTTTTTGTCCTTGCATTCTTCCCTCAGAGGGGATCTGCTGCTCTAGTCAGTCTCTTCCAGATTTCTCATCTTCAGCTTGATCTTCCTCTATCTCAAGTTCTCTCAAGTCCGCTTTCACTTTGTCTATCTATCTCAGTTTCGGCCTCCCTCTTGGCTTCTTCCCGGTTACCCGACTGACATCACCAATCTAGTGACGTGATGTTGCGTTCGTCTTCTAAGGCCTAAGGCATACCTCACGCGATTCGGCCGAACGGCCACTTTCGCGCGACTTGGCGATTTGCCAGATTTCCATAAATTTATCATGCGTATAGTCCCCTCCACAGCTCGTGCTACCCTTGGTCTGCGTCTCAGACCTGTCACGTGTGGCTAACATGTTGGCAACGTGGCAACAACATGTTTGCAACATGCATAACATGTTGGCAAAACATTTTGGCCACGCCAACATGTTTCTGCATGTTGGCAACATGTTGCTGCCAACGTTGTCAACATGTTAGTCACACGTGGCACACCCGCGAAGCCAGAAGGGTAGCACGAGCTGTGGAGGGGACGATACTTCTCGGATGCATATTTGGGTAGCTTGTGTAAGTTGTTGCAAACAGAGCTAGTTCTGACCAAAGGCAGCGCATTAACGACGAATTACGAAGAGTCGCTGTTGTGCCAAATCGCGCATAGACCGGAATCGCGCGAGGTATGCCCTAGGCCTAACGTGTCCATGCCATCGCAGTCTTTTTTTTTGTATTTTCTTGACGACAGGGGCGACCTTCATCGTAGCTCGTATGGTGTCGTTAGTGACATGGTCCAGCATCGTGACTCCCACTGTCTACCTTAGCATGCGTGTCTCCATCACACCAGTCCTTCGTTCGTCTTCTCGCGTACACGGCCAACATTCGCTGCCGTACAGAGCAGTCGGGCGAACTGTAGTGCGATACAGCTGCGGTTTTAGATTGAGTGGCATCTTCTTGTTGCATAGGATTCCTGTGACACCTCTTCATTTCGATCAAGCTGCATTTATTCTGCTGGTTATTTCGTCCTGAAGCGTAACATCCGCGGCGATGCGAATTCCTAGATACTGTCGTGGTCTTCTCAATGGAGGCGCCTTCGATTTCCATAGTTCCAGGTGTTTGAGGTCCCACCTCCATGTACTCTGTCTTGGCGGTGTTCATCTTCAAGCCGTGCAGCTCAAGTTCAGATTTCCACTTCTGCACCTCGGCCTCTAATTCATTCCTGTTTCTTGCCATCAGCATCAAGTCATCTGCATACATCAGGGCCCATGGCGGTTGTCGTATGAAGTCTTTCACTATCGTATTCACGACCGTGATGAAGAGGAGGGGTGACAGTACGGAGCCTGATGAACTCCGACGTTGATCTGGAACTCTTCTGATGTTCTTGCTGCTGTCTGTACGTGGCTTCTGGCATCTTTTATATATCATCTTGATTCATTGCACATATTCTTCCGGTACCGTGCTCTTTCGTAGTGACCACCATATGATGTCATGCGACACCTTATCGAACGCCTTGTCCAAGTCCAGGAACGCCGCCTGCAGCTCGCATTGCTTTTCCCTGCTTTTTTTCCATCATTATCCTGACAGCGTAGATGGCATCTGTTGTGCTGCGTCTTTTGATGAGTCCGCACTGGTTAGGGACTAACTCCACGATGTTTCACAGTCGTACTTCTAGGATTCTTTCGAAGATTTTCAGGGTGTGGCACATAAGTCGGATGGGACGGTATGTGGAGCAGTCAGCTACGTCGCCTTTGTTCCTTCCATGTTGGTACCGTCACGCTTCTGCACCATCGTTCGAAATCTTCTTGTCTTCTACCACCCGGTTGAGCAGTCGTGTTAGCCATGTTCGTTCCCTCCACAGATCGTGCTATCCTTGTGGCGTCGCGGACGTGCCACGTGTGACTAACACATTGGGAACGTTGGCAGCAACACGTTGGCGTGGCCAAAATGTTCTGCCAACATGTTGGGGCATGTTGCAAACATGTTGTTGCCACGTTGCCAACATGTTAGCCGCACGTGGCAGGTCCGAGACGCAGACCAAGGGTAGCATGATCTTTGGAGGGGACTATAACTCCAGCTTGACCACATGCCCTCCAGAATTCGTTGGGTATGTCATCGGGGCCTGCCGCCTTGCCGTTCTTGTCTTCATTATGGCGGCGCGGACTTCGTCTTCCGTGATTGTTGGAACTGTTCCATGCACTATACTTTGGGAAATTCGAAATTTTTTTCGAATATTCGAATATTGAATAATATTCGAAAATCAAAATTCTCGAATATTTGACTATCGAATATTATTCGAAAATTGAAAACTTCGAATATTCGACTATCGAATTTTATTCGAAAATCGAAATTTTCGAATATTCGACTATCGAACATCATTCGAAAATGGAAGTTTTCGAATCGAATAATATTCGAATATCGAATACCATTCGATATTCGATTTTCGAATATTATTCGGTTTTCGAATAATATTCGATTTTCGAATATCATTCGATTTTCGAATACTATGCGAATAAATTATGTCAGTGAGACTACCTGTGAGAGACCAAAATATCTCAGAATAAATTTTTTCAGGTATAGACATTTTTTTATGTTTCAACTTACAACGAAAAAAACGGTTCAGTTGCAGCCGCGGTAAGGAGATGGGTGCCGGATTGTGGCGATGTTAAAGTAGTCCCCTCACCTAAGCACTAATGTTCGGAGGGAAAAAGGGGGCTACCAGGCCTAAAATTTGCCCCGTAAGTGGCCCGGATCTTACGGTAGGCTCGTGAGTACGAGATGCATGCAGGGTAGAGACGCAGAGTCGTTGCGGGACCCTGCACTCATGACTGTGTGCGCTATGCGTTCTCTGGCCTTGCAGTTCGAATTCGCTGTACGGGCGGCATTTCAGCCGTAAGACGGGCCACTTTGGGAGCAATTTTTAAGCTTACCAGACCTCTTTTTAGCTCCGAACTTCGTCACCGCTTAGGTAGGGGGTCCGATTCAACATCGCCACAAATTTCCGGACCCATTTTTGGGACGCTGCCTTTAAGAACCTAAAAGCGTACGTGATGGTTGTGAAGGAATTTCAAAAATCAAAGAAGATTATTTATCCTCATTGAGAGTTGTGGACTGACATGCAGGGGTCCCAACAGTGTGTGAATCTGTGGGCTGACATCGACCTAGACCTACAGTATGAAGCGATGTATCGTTCGCTTTTCACTGTTGTAAATTACCGTAGGAAAATTGGGGGGGGGGAGGGGTTCTGAGATATCAAGAGCCGTTTGCCCAAGAATGAGAAACAAAATGGCCGATCTTACACTAGGCTTCTAAAGACACTCACTATATAGAAAAATTTGCGCTCAACCGTAACGCCTTTTGCACCTTATGCCAGGTACACCATAACAGATGTTTTCCAACGCTTTTCAAAAAAGAGAATACACATTTAAAAGACTTGAAAGGCCGTGCGTAGTGAAACATACGTGAAATCCTGCTACATAGATTTGAAATCTTTTTTGTTGGGGAAACTCTTTTGGATGTCTCATTTCGCAGTTGCTCTATATGCTAACAAGGGAATGGTCAGAAATCGAAGTGGCCAATCCAATCAAGCTGCGTACCATTAGATGCAGCATGAAGTGCTAACTCTAAATCTGTTTTCTTTATCTGCTTATCGCTTTCTTGGACGAAGTTATAAGCCATTAAAGACCATTATTTTGCTTAGAAATTATGCGTGAAATTGAAAATCTAGCCGTACAGAGCCTCGTTCGCTTCAATGCTGGGCCAAAATATGCAGCTAGCTTACTTAAAATTTTTGAAGCCAGAAGCCGAGCTAAAAGTGCAACAATATGCTCAATTTTGCTGTTTTTACATATGATTTTTTTTTACAATAAAACCGCTTGTAGCTTCGTGCACAGAAGCGGGAAGCAGATAAGGAAGACAGATACGAAGTCAGCGTTTTATACTACATCGAATGATATACAGCTTCTTTGGTTTGGCCACTTCGACTTCTGACCATTCCCTTGTAAGTTCATACCGTGATAACACAACATGAAAAACATAGGTAATTTGCTTTCTGCTGTATTTGTAAGCTGAAGCCATCCCTACAGGATGTTACTTAAAGGTTGGCAAAAGACTTCGTGGGAGGTATTAGCGATTAAACAGTTTGTACATACTCTTGGGACACCCCGTATATGTTGTGAATATCGAGTTTCCGAATATTCGATGCTTCGAATTTTCGAATAGGCAATTCTTATCGAATTTTCGAATATTCGGTGCTCATCGAATATTCGAATATTCCATGGACATCGAATGTTCGAATTAATGACCATCGAATATTCGGCTATCGAATAATATTCGAAAGTTGAGAATTTCGAATATTCGACTCGAATAATATTCGAAAATGAAAATTTTCGAATTTTCGACTGTCGAATATTATTCGAAATCTCAGATTTTCGAATATTCGAATTTTCGAATCATTCGCATTCGAATGATTTATTCAAATAATCGAATAATCATTCGATTCGGTCCAAAGTATACCATGCACAGGCTCAGCTGTAGAGTCGATGTGTATTCGTGGCTCGTAGACACTATCTCGGCGAAGTGTGTTCTCCATCTTTCTTTTATCTCTTGTGGTTTCCTAAAACTTTCCCGTGTGCGTCCTTGATACTGTAGAAATGCTTTACATCTCTTGTGGCGGTTGGTCTTCTTTTCGCGAATCAGTAGATGTCTTGTTCGCCTTCTCGAGTGTGCAGCTTCATGTAGACTACTTCCATGCACGCTTCTTTTGCCTATTTGACACTTCTCTTGGCTGCCCGCTTCGCGTCTGAGGGCCTCTGCCTTGCTTCTTCTGATCTTCGTTTCTGCTACATCCTGTACGCTGTCTTCTTCTTCTTCTTGATCATGGATTGCACGTTCTTGTTCCACCACCAGTGGCCGTATTCATCAACGAACCCTGAGGGTTAAGCTTACCCTTCAGGCTTAGGTTTAACCAGGGTAAAGCGGGGGGTGCGGCACGCCGCAGAGGGGGGGTCGTATTGAGGAGTCAAAAGGGGAGGGGGTCGTAGTTAGGTGATCTGATTATAGCGATAACATGATATTCGTATCATATCCATAATTAGCACGTCAATTAACCCCTGTAGACAAAGTGTGAGCGAATTCTGAAGATTCAAGATACTAGGCTACCTAAGTGAAATGGTCAAATTCCAACATGGTTAACTTTGTTTTAAAGGTGAATTAGCTATCCGTTTTTGCACTCAAGACAAAGCACTACTCCTTCTTTGTCCACCTCAGGAATCCCGCTTCAGAAGACCTCCAAACTGTGGAATTAGAAGCCAACCAAAATCTCATTTTTCCCATTTTTCGCTTTTGATGGCTGTGCTTTCACCAAATATTACTCAGAGCTAAGAAGACGAATCAGGCTCAAAACATCCCTATGGAATCTACGAGGTTTAGGCTATCGATTCATATAAATATTGTCCGCTAAAAATGTTTTTTTGATATAGTTAATGGCCTGCGGCACCCCCCCCCCCCCCTCAAAACCTGCGGCTGCCGCAGGGGTGCCGCAGGGGTGCCGCAGGCCATTAACTATATCAAAAAAACATTTTTAGCGGACAATATTTATATGAATCGATAGCCTAAACCTCGTAGATTCCATTGGGATGTTTTGAGCCTGATTCGTCTTCTTAGCTCTGAGTAATATTTGGTGAAAGCACAGCCATCAAAAGCGAAAAATGGGAAAAATGAGATTTTGGTTGGCTTCTAATTCCACAGTTTGGAGGTCTTCTGAAGCGGGATTCCTGAGGTGGACAAAGAAGGAGTAGTGCTTTGTCTTGAGTGCAAAAACGGATAGCTAATTCACCTTTAAAACAAAGTTAACCATGTTGGAATTTGACCATTTCACTTAGGTAGCCTAGTATCTTGAATCTTCAGAATTCGCTCACACTTTGTCTACAGGGGGTATTTGACATGCTAATTATGGATATGTTGTCCATTATGTTTGACAGAGCCTTCAGGTAATACTATCTTAAGTGTATAGTTTAGGAGGGGGTCTTATTAAGACAGCAATCAGGGGGGGGGGGTCGTATCCGACGGTCGAGTGCCGCACCCCCCGCTTTACCCTGGGTTTAACCCTCAGGGTTCATTGGCCGTATTCATCAACCATAGGCTAGGGTTTACCACGGAGCGCGATCTACCCGTATCGATCAACGAACCTGTGGCCGTATTCATCAACCCTGAGGGTTAAAATAACCCTGGAGGGTTAAGGCGTCAGTTACGCCTGCGCTGTGCAAACTCACATCACAGAATACCTAAGTACGGGCTAAATTCACTTTATACTTCTATTCTTACACTGTTATAGTAGTACAGTCAACGAATAAGTTTCTAACACTAGTTTTCATAATACATCTCTAGCATACTTGTGCAGCATCCAATCTTACAGCGTGAGTTTATTTTCATGTGTGCAATTGTGCAGTGTAACTTCTACTTCTGCGCAGCTCGTTTCATACCGGGCTTGTGCTGCTCTTTTAGGGGTCAATGCGTGTTATTATAAAGGGGTTCTTCTGTTTTGGCACTTGTCAGAGTGGAATGCCATTCTCCCTCGTCGCATTCATTTGTCACCAAAGCTAGAATTCTTTTTCTCGCGAAGTCAGTGTTTCATGTACTTCGAATATGAATATAAAACGAAGTCGAAACTAAATACTATAACAACAACCAATACTAAATACTTCAATACTCGTTGATCGTTTTCCCTAAATTATTAGATGCGAGTAAATGTTTGTATGAAGTGTTAGGGTAGAATTAACCTTGCTCTGAGCTAGGGTTAAATCAACCCTGATGAATCACGTAAGTTTAACCCTCCAGGGTTAGTTTAACCCTCATGGTTCGTTGATGAATACAGGTTAGTCGCTTTCGGGGTAAAATTAACCCTCAAGGTTAGATTTAACCCTCAGGATTAAGCCTACCCTGTGTTTCATGAATATGGGTTAAACGCTTTCCAGGGTTAAACTAACCCTTCAGGGTTAGTTTAACCCTCGAGGTTCGTTGATGAATACGGCCACAGGTTTCTCTGTGGATTTTTGCCCTTCCTGGCTTCGTACGTTCTAATAGACTGCTTGCTGTGTGATGGACGTTCTTCTTCAAATTCTTCCAAGAGTCTTCTGTTTCTTCTTCCGACTCTGGTAGAGCAGATTCCATAGCTGCTCTGAGTGGTCGTTGTCTTTGAGCCTCCACCATTTGACCCGTGCTACTTGCCCTGTTGTTGTTTTTCTTTGCTTGTCGGCTGAAATATTCAGATCCAGAATTAGTGATCGATGTTGTGGTATGCATCCTCCGGGTATGACCTTGGTGTCCTTCACAATTAGTGATCGATGTTGTGGTATGCATCCTCCGGGTATGACCTTGGTGTCCTTCACAAACTTAAGCTCACATTGTCATACTTTGCCGAAGTCCGTGGTAAGTTTCAACTCACATCGGTTTAGGCGAAAATTGGACTGGCGGGAGTCCGCTTCACAACGATGCGCGCCGCTTTGTAGTCTGCGTCTCTTCATTCTAATCTATCTCGCTGAGCCAGTGGCGTGCGGACGCGCTGTTCCCTGGAGAATGTTTTGCCTACTCCGGGTTGAAAAAGACTGTATCTGTGTCTTCCGATTCCCGCTGGCGTACGTGGTGAGATGACTGTCCTTCTTTACGAAGTATGTGTTTGCCAGTACCAAGTCATGCGCCGTGGCGAACTCCAGAATACGTTCTCTTCGCTGTTACGTGTTCCGTATCCGTGATTACCATGGCATTTGCTTGTACCGCTTCGTTGCACCCCTACATGCTCGTTGAAATCTGCTCCTATTGCTTCTCCATCTCCGTGCACCCAACTTGTGGTGCACAGGCGGTTACGACTCGTAGTTTTCTTTTTCCCATATCCATTCTGAAGCACATTAGTCGATCACTTTTGCGAACCACGTCCGTGATTCTACTCCCGCTTATGTGACCACTATACCGACGCTGTTCCTGCTGTTGCACGTTCCTTTGTATAGTCGTCCTCCCCCCACTAGACACCTAGTGGACGATTTCAAATTTGAACTGGAGCACGCTGGTTGCGGCAGAGCGCGGCACATTCAGCTTTAATTCAAACTCAAACAGTTTTTCTTTGCGTTTCTCCGACGTTTCATGCCATTTTTTGACTGTTAACAGTTTTCTTAGTTGAGATTGAAAATTGAATCGCTTTTGAGGAATGTTTCGTGCTGTTTTTCAACTTTACTTAAAAATAGAGCTAGAGAGAAACATAATGGTACGAAACATCGCTAAACGACAACAAACTCGTCAGTTGATTACAAACGCCATTGAGATAAAGGATTTACCATGCAACGGCGAGAAATACAAAAGAACACTGCAGGAGCTTGAAGCGAATTTGACGGTGCCGCGCTCTGCGGCAACCGGCGTGCCCTAGTCCAAATTCGAATTCGTCCACTGGGTGTCTAGTGGGGGGGGAGGACGACTATACAGAAGCTTGTGCCCGTCTCCTATGTCCCGTGAATTCTCTCCTTTCCATTTTGTTTCCTGACAGTCGATGTCAACCCTACGTCTTCTGAGAAGATCAGCCAACTCGCGATGTCGTGAAGTGAGTGATCCTACATTGACGGTGGCTAGACGTAACGCTGAGAACTTAGATACTCGCCTACGGTGAGCTAGCTTCTTTGACCGTCTCCGCTCACCTGCTGACGGTAACCCTAACATACTTTCGCACCATCGGGCTCGAATCCGTGTCGCATCCGGGGGACGCCCTAACTTTAACTCCGAATACCTGAAGGTACTTAAAAGAGCAATTGATGCGACCAATCGTCTTCTTCAGCCGGCTTGTCGCTTGCTTTTCCTTGGATTAACAGCCTGACACGGGATTCGTGGGGCAAGAGCTTTGCCAAAGAAGTTAGGCCCGCGTGGAACCAAACCTGTGACCTTCCTCGCCATAGTCAAAGGAACTAACCTCTCGGCCTCGGATGAGAGATGAAACATTGCTCAACAATCACGAATGACTTGCGCGGAATGAACTTTTAAAACTTTTGGGGGACGCCCCTATGGGCCGTGTGGGTGTACCTTGCCCTACCTGGCCCCGCCCTATCCGGCAGCTTCAATATAAGTGTCCCCTCGAAAGTTTCAGAAGTTCAGTTTCATCGAAATCATTTGCGCTTGTCTGAGCCGCAATCGTAATTTCCCCGAGCCACTGCTTCTAAGAAAAACCAGAGAATCTGGCGTGCCCCAGTCTTTACCAATTAGGGTGCGGTTTGTACAAAAATAGGTTCTGGGTGCTGGTCAAAATGGTTCCAACACATCACTGTGACGAAGTGAGCGGCGCTTCAGGTTACTTTTTTGCGGCCATTGTCTCCTTTCGCTTGCTCTTCCCCCCCCCCCCCCTCCCCGCGCTCCCTATCACTAGTTACGGAATTGGGGGGACTATTGCTTGGGGTAGAGGACTATATGTCGCCGAAAAGAGTGGGTAGACATCTGCAACAGGCGACGCAGCTCCACGTACCAAAGAGACTACAAAGTACCAGCTGTCCGCGCGGGGGTGGAGCCTATCGGCGAATGGGGCTCCTAAATTGCAGAGTCGTTCGCACGCGGCCGCGTGACCGCGTCGCGTCCGGGCATTTTGCCAGGCCTCGATCGACGTAGCCGGCGCCGGCATTGTATTTTCTCGGAAGTCTCGTCTCTTTTCTTTGTTTTTTGCTCATTGAGCCCTCAGCGAGCCTCATAATTTTTCGAAGTAGTCCCATGCCGGCAATCGGCCTCAGAGTTCCTTTGTACCCATTATGGAAAACAATAAAGTTGAGCAAGTGAGTAAATGAGTAGTGACACACCTGTACCTCTCTGGATTGACTAAGCCACAATAACTTCTTTTGCCATACTGAGAATTCTGAAAAACATAACCTAAGGGTACAAAGCTGTGAGGCCGATTGCCGGCATGGGGCTACTTCGAAAAGTTATGATGAGCCTCGCTGTGGGCTCAATGAGCAAAAAGCAAAGAAAAGAGACGAAATAAAGAAAAGAAACGGAGAAAATACAATGCCGGCACCGGCGCCATCGATCGAGGCTTGGCAAAATGCCCGGGCGCGACGCGGTCGCGCGGCCGCTGGTGCAAACGACTGTGCAATTTGGGAGCCCTGTATACCCCTCTGCCGCATGCTCGCCGTCAAGATTGAGCTCTAAATATCTTTCGCAAACATAGGAAAGCATAAGCAGTCGCGGGAAATAGCTTCTTCTCATTGTTGATTGTGATTTTTGCTTTGCAGAATCTTGGAATCTCTGTACAGCATGTCAGAAGCGAGATATTCCAAAAGGCTATGCAGAAAATGATGAAAGAGGTCATCAAGTCTTTGTAGCAATAATGACGTGAAGTAATTTCTGCGTTTAGTGTGATGAACTTGTTGGCGGTGACTGCAAGATGAAGAGTCGTTTAGATGGGATTTTGAACAAAGAGAAAGAAGTAAGACAGTGCGTCTCTGGTGAAGATCACCTGTTGTTGAATAGTAGTACAACCCCCGGTTCAAATATACAATTTGAATAGGTGCCTTTCAATAATTCTTATTGCTATTGCTTCGATGTTTTATTTTTAGATATTAGAGTTGCGTTGCTGTTTTGTTTTTAGACATTCTTTATGTACTAAATGTTGAACTATTTGAATTTATGGTGTTTCTGCGATGTCAACATTTGCCTGCGTCATTTGCGCGTGAACAAATTGCTTGTCTGTGATACTGGCAGTTTGTGCGTTCAAATGGCCCTAGAGCTCACATTTTCGAGTTTAGCGCTTGCAATCTGCGCACTCGCAATTGTTGCCGGCAGACGTTGACATCCTGAGACATTATACTCAGAGTTAAGTCCACCAACCTATATGTGATCCATGCTGAGACTAAACATTCATGAACGCTTGGCGAACTTTGTTTCACGAGCCTGAACTTGTATAGGGCTTATCAAACGCAGTGTCGCTCGCATCAGTATCTCCATTCCCGCGCTAAACTCTGCGTCTCTTCTGCGGAACATGCTCTCTGAGCACTTTCCCAGGGCGAGCGTGGGAAAGGCGGAGCTTCCATCGATTTGAAGTGATTAGAGGACATGTTCCGGAGGAGACGCTGAGTCCAGCTCGGGAGCGGAGGTGCTGATGCAAGCGACACTGCGTTTGATAAGCCCTGCACTTGCTTTAATCAAGAAGAACATTTATTAATTTGATTCAAAAAAGTCTCAACTTATTGTATGCAGAGCGTTCTCGAGTTTCGTCAGAGCGGACATTATATTCCTTCAAATGCTCGCTGCCATTGCTGATGCCTATTATCTGGTGCATACCTAACTTGGTGCAATTGCACTATACTACAGTTCCATGGTGCTCGAGCTAGCAGCTTTTTGGCTATCGATATGATTTATAGCATTCTGGAGCATTTGAGTGCAATCACACTAGATAAATTGCAGCCTGACGGCAAGTATAGTCGATCATTTATGTTCATTGTAACGTTATGTTCTTTTTGTCCTATTTTCCATGTTCACTCCATGCTGTAACCAGACTGTAATTTCAAACCGTACCTTTCTTCATTTCTTTCTTGTAATTTCCCTTGTAATTCTTTGTAATATCGTCGCCTAGGCGATTCGATTTATAAAGTATTGTCAAATGTGTATATGAAATTACACAAAAGTGTACGTATTGATTAAAACTTGACATTGGCAAAAGAGGCTTTGAATGGGGCATTTGAAAATCATGGTGTTCTCTCGTCATTTTTCCTAGTCATAGTTTATAATTTTCAATTCCTTGCCATCACTGGTTGTATTTTTTCTAAAATGTGAACAGATATACTGCTGGATGAGCACACAATTATACTTCTGACCAGCACCTTGTATTTTTTACATTTCCTTTTCTCTTTTTTACATCACCCCGCCTGTTTTTGAAATTACCATACAAGATGTGCATGCGAGAACATTTGTTTCGGGAAGAGTTAGACAATTTTGAGCATCTACGAATTTTTCGAAAGAAGAAATTCGTAGTTTCTGTAGATGAACAACAACGTCAGCAAGAGGAATATTTTAAAACCATCTTGTCCTCCGCTTTTAGAGCATATATAGTTTGCCTGGAGTCTGTAGAAAAAAGTGCCTGGTGAAGGGTGTGGGTAATGATTTCTGGATGGTGAAGGGTGTGGGTAATGATTTCTGGATATTTACGAGTTTTTAGGATAAAAAAAATCCGTAACTTCTGAAGATGAATAGACAGTACATGGAGATGGTCACCATTGGAACCGCCTCGTCCTTCGCTTTCAGAAAGTATATAGCATGTCTGAAATCCCCCCTCTCCCCCCCCCCCCCCCAAAAAAAAGTGCCTGGGTGAAGGGTGTATTAGTGATTTCTGGAGATTTTCGAGTTTTTAACATAAAAAATATTGTAGATGAACATCTTTTACGCCGAGATGGCCACCGTTGAAACGTCGTCCTCCGCTTTCAGAAAATATATACTTTGCGTGGGATCCATCAAAAAAGGGTCTGGGTGAAGGGTGGAGACTTTCATAATGGGAGTGCTCAAATAGACGACTTTTTACAATGGTAAAAAAGCCTCTACTTGAACACTCCCATTATAAAAGGTCCCGCCACCTTTCACCCGGCACTTTTTGTAACGAAGGCCACACAGGCACTTTTTTGAATGGATCTCAGACATGCTATATATTTTCCGAAAGCGAAGAACGAGGCGGTGCCGATGATGACTATTTCCTTGCACCAGCTGTTCATCTGCAGAAGTTACGAATTTTTTTACTCTAAAAGTTCGTAAATATCCGCAAATTCAGAACCCCTAAACTTCTTTGAAAGTACCCCAGCAAACTACGAATTTCCTGAAAGCTGAAGAAAAGATGGTTCTGAAAGAAATTTTCTTGCTGATGTTGCTGTTCATCTACAGAAGTTACAGGTTTTTTCTTTTGAAAATTGTGAGTGCTGAGAAATTGTCTACCTCTTTCTCAAAAAGATGTTCTCGTTTACACATCTTCTATAGTAATTTTAAAAACGTACAGGGTGATTCCAATCCTACTTCAGTTTTCACATTTTGATAAAAAGACAACCAATGATGGCAGAGAAATCAAAATGATAAACTTTGAATTGGAAAAATAAAAGAACACCAACACCCCTCTCCCCCCCCCCCCCTTGGGTCGACATTTTATGGTTTGTTGATCAACTGAAACACCCTTCACCGTGGAGGGGTTGCGACCATTGGAACCCCCTTCACCCTGATAGAGTCATTCTCACCTTATCACCTATGGTTGCAAGTCCTTTGGCGTGTTTGAGCTGGTCGATTTTGGCAAAAAATCCCCCGCGCCTTGTACGCCTGAAGTTAGTCTACTTTACATACAATTAGATTAGGTATCATCGGCTCCACGATTCGTGTAGAGGCGGGGTTTTGCCAACTCAAAGCGTGGCGGTTTTTGATAGCGAGAGAGTACAAAAAACAATGATATGACGTGGAGGTTCAACAAGTTTACCTGTGTTATCAGGCAAAGTCTGCAATGCACCTCTACACGAATCGTGGAGACGATCATACATAGATGGCCTGTCCTCACACGTCGTGCGGCCTCAACTTCTAGCCGTTCGTTAGGTGAAGTCGTCATCCATGAACGCCTTGGTAAGCTCTTGCGATTGCTGCTGGACGATCCTGTATCAAACTCCAACTGCTGACGCAGCTGTCCAAATCCGTCACACTACGGTGGTCTTCCATGTGAACGTTTCGAGAATCTTGGAATTCATCCTAACGTTCTTTTTGTCCATCTGTGGTCTTTTAAATACATGACGGGCCCATCTATGTTTATTCTTCGATACATACTCTGCTGGATCTTCTAGACGCGATAGTTGCCTGAGGTCAGAGCTCCGAATTCCAAGTCGATACTGTCTAAACTTGGTTATCTTTTCTTTTCTTTCGAGTGCTATGTGTGCTGTTCGTAGTGCCTTTACGATTGCTAAGTATCAATCCAGGTTCTGGCTGCGTAACACAAGGCCGGGAGAACTGTTCATAGAAAAGATGAGCGCAATTTCGGATCAGCAAGGTTGTCTATGGCCTCTCTCAGAGGACCGAATGCTGCCCAAGCTGCTCTGCTCTCTGTCTTCATGGGTTACTCTTCATGTCGTTGTTCATGTTGATGGCGCGTCCTAGGTAAACATAAGATGAAGTCTTCCCTATCGTTGCTCTATCCAGGAATATTTGACCTTTTCTGCACCAGATATTTCTGATGAACTGCTTCTTTTGCTTTATCTTGAGCCCAATCCTTCTCCCGCTTTCGTTCAATACATTGTATAGCGTCGGCTCTATCGGCTTCGCTGATAGACTTCGAGAGAAGCGGAGATTCGAAAGGCTTCCATCGACGCAGATCCCTTTCGTTTTCCAATTGAGCCTGCATGCACCATTGCAATATACCACGGCAAACGGCTTTGGCGACACCGTGTCGCCTTGTCAGACTCTTTCCGCGGTACGGATGTGGAGCGGGTGGTCAAACAACTGTATCGTGGTGGTACATTTTTTGTTGCAGTCCGCCATGATCTTTACGCATGTTAGTCAACGACTTGTCGATCAAAGCAGTTAAAACGGCGTTGATCTCCACATCGAAGGCCTTTTCGTAATCGATGAAGATGAGGAGTACTGGCAGTTGGTATCCACGACAGACCTCCATTGTCCTTGAGACGTTTGGATGTGATCGGCGCAGCAGAATCTTCTATGGAATCCGGCTTGCTTAGTATATTTTGGACCGAATCGAATGATTATTCTATTATTCGAATAAATCATTGCGAATGATTCGAAAATTCGAAAATTCGAAAATCTGAGTTTCGAATAATATCCGATAATCGGGTATTAGAAAATTTTCATTTTCAAATATTATTTAAAAGTCGAATATTCGAAAATCATTCGATACGGATATTCAATCGCCATTGATTCGATCATCGATTTTCTCGAATATTCAAATATCGATGAGCACTGAATATTCGAAAACGATAAGAATTAAGAGTTCGAGAATTAGATGAGCATTTAATATTCGGAAATTCGATATCCACAACAAATACGGGGTGTCCCAAGTGCATCCACACTGTTCGATCGCTGATACCTCTCACGAAGTCTTTTGCCAACCTTTGGGTGACATCCTGTAGGGATGGCTTCCTGTAAATACAGCAAGCGAATCACCCGTGTTTTTCTTGTTGTGTTATGACGGTAAAAACTTCCAGCATATAGAGCAACTGCGAAATAAGACAAAAGAATCCCCCCAAAGAAGATAGTTTGTTAGCAGATGCAGATTTACGTATACTAGTTCTACTACGCACGTGGCTATGGGGGAAACAACCTTCACGTGGAAGAAAACAGAGGTCATCCTGGGCTTCGCCCTGGATTTTATCCTGACTATATCGGAACGAATGTTAATGAAGCAAATATAGGGGATAATATCTTTAACTTATCTCAGCGAAACCAAGAATTTGCGTTTTCATAGCCTTTTTTACCTTAGAAAGAAGGTTTCTGTGGAATTTTCGCCAAAATTCAAGACAAAATTTCTCAGTTATCATCTCATTCAAACAAAATCGAGTTTCGAAGTTTAGGAAAGCTATTGGAGTTAAATAAAAACGAGAAACTGCGCTTAAGTCTTGCGCAGAGAGTCGCGCTCACGAAAACGCTGGTCTATCTCGTTAATGAGTGAATTTCAAAGATTAGGACGTTGACAGTTCTCCTCGTC